TGGGCTATATCTTGTTACGGTAATCTTCTAAACCGTTGGACCGATTTCGATAATATTTTACTACCAGGTAGCTGTCTACATAAGAATTAACTTAGGCTATATTTCCTCTCAGAAAAACCCTCTAAAATTTAGCCCGGTCCGGGCATCGAGCCCACTAAGGCTTTTCAAATTCCACGCGAACGGAGTCGCGGGTACCAGATAGTTTAATAATATAGTTTAACTTAAGTAATGTATAAAATAATTAGAGCGCCTAAAAGAGTAGGTAAGTAAGTATCTTTGACGTAGCTTTGAAGCTTCAGAGAAAGAAATAACCAAAAACTCCTTCATTTATAACTTCAGTTTCATAAAAAAAACCTTTAAGTTACACGTAATCTTTAACCATTAAAAAAAATATTTATTTAAAATAACTTAATGTTCAAGTCGTACACAGGCGGACTTAATGCGCAGGGCATTCTCTGCCAGTCGACCTTCGGGTGATGTAGAAAAATGATGTGTTAAGTGCAAGAGAAAACAGATTTTTTTACACGCTTTATATTAGCTTCACTTGTATGTTTGTATGTTTGCTTGTAACCCACTCCTTTGGGCGTGATTTTGACTGACTTTAAACGGTCAGAATTCGTTCAAACTTTGTAGATATATTAAGGACCGATGACAATACACTAATTTAAAAAAAAAAAAAATTATAAATAATAAAAGCGTTGGGTGCCTGTTGTCAATAGTAAAAAGCACCCCACGCATTTTTTTAAATTTAGTATAATTTATTTTCTATTTTTTAGTGTAGTTTTCCATAAAAAGCGTGTCTTTTAGTATTTTAAAACTATTATTTTTTTACTTACCTTTATTTTAAATTAATATATTTCTTGAGGCATAGGGGCTCTCTAGCAATAAAAATAAAACTATGGAATATTCAACTCTAATAAAAAGTTAAGAATAGTAGGTTCATGTCGGCGTAGATATAGAACCATTCAATCTATAATAATTTTACACTTCACACATCTCATACACGGCCATCTGATCCCAAACTAGGCTGTGCCTTAGGTACTATGTTAACCAGACTGCTGACAAACATACTTATATATTTATAAATACATACATATTATAGATAAATTACACCCAGACACAGAACAAATCATCGTGCTCATCATACAATTATTTGTTCTGGGTGGGAGTCGAACTCACGACCTCCGGCTTAGCAGTCAGGTCCACTAGACCAGTGGTTAGCGACCCTGAATAGGCTTGTCGTCAGGCAAAATCTATCTACCTAAATATATTTTTAAATATTTATTCTTAAATAATATTTCACAATGGTTAAAACCGAGGTCACCCTCGTTCGAGAGTGCCTGTAATTTAATACAGTGGGGTGTGATTGCACAATCTTAACTCTAGTTAGTGAAATACTGTAGATAAATAATCTAAAAAGTGGTTATTTCAAACGATTTTATAATGCTTGTGAACCTAATACTTCTATTATTGAATACCAGATACACCCGGGCCTTTTTTTAAATTGTACCACATTCACACAACGCCATCTAGTTCCAAACTTAGCAGAGCGTGTACTATGGGTACTAGACAACTGATATTAATACATATATATTTTTTGTAAACACATACATATTAAATGTTCAAGCACACAAATGTTTGGCGTAGCATTCCATTACACAAACCGCTACGCCATTCCCCCGTTTAGAACTTCATCGGCGTCTTTCAAAAGGAATATTTTTCCCCGTTTTTGCAACATTTTTTTATTGATACTTTGCTCCTATTGGTCATAGGGTGATGTTATATAACCTTCCTCGTTAAATGGGCTATTTAACTTTTTTTTTAAGCGCTTTCGACCAAACAAACAAATAAACTTCAGTTTTATGATATTAGTAGGTATAAATTAGGTTGCACAAGTATTTTAAAATCATTTAACAGTTTAGTTGTTAAAAAATATGAGCTAGCTTACGCCACATTCGATGTACAACATCAAAAATATAGCTCGGCGCGCGCTCACAAAAAAAGATGTAATCAAACTTATTAAAAATAAAATCTTTTTAAAGATATAAATATACAACATAAAGATAAAACTTCAATAAATATGTACTTAACAAGTAACATATATTTTTATATTTTGTTGTATTGAATGTCCAGTATAACCTGAACTATTCATGTATATATGCCACTTTACCATTACAGGTCAAAATATATACCGGGACACCTAAACTTTAATGTTTCGTATTTTAAACGCTTAAAGATTATTTCAAACATAGTATGCTTCTATATAAGACATTCTATATATTAAGATAAGTAAGTATATTTAAGTAAGTTTTTGCAGTAACCTAAGTATATTTCTGCTTGGTTAAAAAGTTTTTACTATAACCTTATTATTAGTTTTTATTGTTATTACACAAAACTTTACAGGTAGGTAAATCTGAGTTTAACAACTGTGCAATCTATCAAAGCGTTCCGTTTTTAACAGAAGCGGTCCGGGGGAATGCCGCGAAAGAGGCGGGGGGGAAGCTGCAGACGTTCTCCTCTCATTGAAGCACGCCGTCGTCCACGGCGACTGTGCCTCCGAGACCGTTCACCCTCAGGTATACAACCATCTCTTTTACTCTTACACAAAATAACCACCGCTAAACAGAGATAAATACATGTTTCGTTAATACGTTTTATATTTTGGTTTGTTAGCTTGTACTCTTTTCTACGCGTTGGGTTTTCGCTCGTTATCCTTGTCTGACAAAAGGGGTGGTTTGAGGATTTTTTTATGGAAAATTGTGTGGAAACCTAGGGTTCCGCCCCACAAGGGTTTCTATATGAAATGATTGTAATTAGTACGGTATCACGGATTATTATTGAGTTTTGCTTTATGATAGAACATGATGGGCTTCGTCGGATTTATTGAAATTACAATCGAGGCTGATGTTTATTAATGAAAAAGGTTTATAAGTGGGGATAAAAACCTTGATTTTAACTTATATTTTTTTTTCGTGATCTGTGCTTAGAACGATTTGCTACGGAGAGTAGGTAGGTAGGAACTCTACGTACGTTGCAGAAGATTATTTTATACATTAAGAACATAAAAATTGATTTTATTAATGTAGGTACTATGATTGAATATTTACTAAACTTAATCAGCAATAAAATAAATACCTACTTAACTTTATTTATTTAAAAAATACATTTCAATATGCTTAATGGAGGATAGAATGTTTGCTTTCTCTCCTAATGTTGTCGTGCCCGACAGGGTCCATAATTGTTTCTTCCTAAATATAAGACACTATCTGACCCGCGCAACTCCGTCTGCGTCTCTCAATAGTAATAATTTTTCTCCGTTTTTGAAACATTCTTCATTGGTGCTCCGCTCCTATTGGTCTTATCGTGATGATATATAGCCTATAGCCTTCCTCGATAAATGGGCTATCTAACACTGAAAGAATTTTTCAAATCGGACCAGTAGTTCCTGTGATTATCGCATTCAAACAAACAAACAAATCTTCAGCTTTATAATATTAGTATAGATTATATACATTTGTTCATTATGAAGTGTACTAAACGAATTGAATTGAATGTTTAATTATTTTCATTACTACAATTATGTAAACTAAAAACAATTATTTCTGTAATCTGTAATTACTGCTGTGTTTAGGTCTCGGGTTCGATTCCCGGGTCGGGTTTGTATGATCTGCAAATATTTGTTTCGGAGTTTAGGTGTTTTCTATGTATAATATGTATGTATTTACAAAAAAAAAGGTGTTTAAGTATTCTATCAGTCAATCTAGCTTTCATAGGACAAGTAATGCTTAGTTTGAAACTAGATGGCGTTGTTTGTCAGATGTCTGAAATATTATTATCATTATAAGCATACTAATGTAATAATTTATCTCAATACTAATTGTAGGTAGGTACGATAAATTAGATTTATCATTTTTGTTGCATTGTCTGTTTAAACGTGCTAATCTCGTAAACAGTCAGATTCAAAAAAATCTTTTTGCATATGATTATTTAATAAATTATCAAGGCATTGTATCAAATTTCTCAGATATTAATTTACTTCTACGTAGATATATATTCTCTCCTATTCAAAAGATAAAAATAATCTTCGCAAATTGTGAGCCGATTTCAATACTTGGTACCTACTTATTTTTTATCTTAAATTGATCAATTGCAAACAAATAAATTTAATTCAAAGAAGCAGTCAATTTGCAACTCTAGCTTCCAGGACACAACGGAAAGAAATAAAGGAAAATGTACAATCCAATATTCAGAGGGGGGTGTCTAAGGAATACAGGCATGGAAGAAATCGGGAGCTAGTCAATACATTTTAAATGTCAAAGCCAACAGTCGCATACCCTTCAAGTCGAAGACCCTCTAAGAAATTTCTTTGAACATTTTGATAAGGATAATATCCTTATCAAAATGTTCAAAGAAATTTCTCAACAAAAACCTCAAAAAATATGACATCAATAATAAGGGATCTGTAACAACAAGGCATATTTGAGAAGACTCCAAAGGATCCTCAAGGATTTCATTCAAAAAGGTTTTTAATAAAAAAAACAGATAGGGGTATACGTCCAATTTTCAATCTGAAAGCTCTAAATTTGCATGTGTCCACACGGAATTGATTTTTCACCGCTATAGGTAAAAATGAAGGGAATGCCAATTATCATGACTAAATTGTTAAATTCCTCTAATTGGTCATCATCATCATCATCAACAGCCTTTAATAGTCCACTGCTGGACATAAGCCTCTCCTTAGAAAGGAGGTTTTGGCCTACTATACCACGCTGGCCAGACGGGTTGGTATAGGGTTTGTGTCAAGTTTTCCTTCTCTCTGCAGTGTTGTTGTTCTGCGTAGTTTTTTCCCTTAGTTGACTCTTACAACACCTACGGGATGAATAGGGGTGGTGACAATCCGTATTCTTAATCCGTCACCACACGGACTCTAATTTTTCGCCATACGATATTTTAATAAGACAACCCTTTATTTAATTAAAAGATTCTAAATCGATATATAGATGATGGTGAACAGCGGGGCAGGCTACCCTTACTACGAGCACTATGGGGGGGCGCCACTCTTCCCGACCATGAGTGTCAACGTGTCCATGAACATGACCATGCATGGATGTCCACCAGAGCAGCTTTGTTCACAGGTACGTATATTACAATTGATTCTTCGAAGGTGGTAGGATTTACCTTCTACCTTCGAATTTGGACTGCTTGTATGTGTAAATATCTACTTATGCTTGTAAATTTTTATAAGACGTGCTACCGTCAGCTATTGTATAAAAGTGGGGGTCACGATGGTCATTTGAACGTGCGAGACCCTGCGCACTCTTCCGATTTCTATAGTGGCCCTTCTCATGTGTTCCACTTCTTGAATGTAGATTACGTAGATTACTTAGTTTTATGACTTTTATTGCTGTACAGCTGTTGTTTAATAAGTCGAACTTGACTTATAAGTACTTCAATTAAAATAGCAAATACCTACTTCATAGGTTGATTGCAAAGGTCTGCTTAAATCGTCAATTTAATTATTCAAAATATTTACTCAATTTCTTTGGAAATTAGGTATTTACTTAACAACATTCATAAAATATTTTAAATGGAATTTAAAATACTTTACTATACTTTTATGTCCGCGTGGTGACGGATTAAGAATACGGAATGTCACCTATTCATCCTGTGGGTGTCGTAAGAGCCGACTAAGGGAGAAATAAAACTTGAAACAAACCCTATACCAACCCGTCTGGCCAGCGTGGTAGGTATAGTAGGCCAAAACCTCCTTTCTAGGCTGTTGATGATATTGATGAAGTGTACTTTTAGATATATAATTTATCTTCTTTTAATTAAACGTATCCAACAAGTTAAATTAAAAGATGAATTGTGTGGCTTTAAATATTTTAACCCTTAGGCATCTACACAATAAATACATCATCATCATCATCATCAACAGTCTTTAATAGTCCACGTCTTTAGAAAAGAGGGTTTGTTTCAAGATTTCCTTCTCTTTGCAGTGCTGTTGTCCTGCGTAGTTAGTTCCCTTAGTCGGCTCTTACGACACCCACGGGAGGTATAGGGGTGATGACACTCCGTATTCTTAATCCGTCACCACACGGACGCTAACACAATAAATTAGGTGAAGTTATATCAAAGGTTGTAGAATGACTAGATACAAAACGAAATCCATTAGCTTGATAACATTGTATGTTTTAAGAAATATAACCAGGTATATAAATATTTGTTAGACCACTAAAGAGAAATGACTATCTTCTTCACTCCCAGGTACAATGGAATCAAAACGCTTCAACACCATCAGTCAACGTCGTGTACCCTCAAACACAAAACGTCATATCCTCCTCATCCTACCCTTCAGCCACGTACTCCTTCACGGCGGACTTCAGAGCCCCCAACCAAAGTGATCCCCTCATTACGGCTACTTCAACCTTTAAGCCTCTATTGCAGAACCCTCAGAAACCAAACCCAAATTACTCAATTTTCCAACAGAAGCCCAACTTTCCTCAAAAACCATTAGGACAAACTTTAAAAAGATCTCCTTCTAAGTTGTATATGGAGACGCAGAAGGAACCGAATATAGGCAATGGGTATGTCTTGAATCATCAAGGTCAAGTGCATCCTCAGGAATATGGATATCCTGCGTGTGTTAATACGCCTGGTAAAGTACAGGTTAGTGCAACAACATGCGTACCAATATCTATAGTTTTCTCATGCTGAAAATTTAAATAAATGTTAAAAAAATGTTGTCTTTTATAAAAATAAATTCAAGATTTTTATTAATCATAGACAGGTATATTAATAATAATTGTTGTAGGTGTTACAGCAAGGTGATTCCACTTGCATCATATTTAAAATTATTTAAAAAGTGTTTATTTCTAAAACAACGTCGACGTCATATAATTTTAAAACAATATTGTTTAGGAATTCTTATTAAATGACTGATGTAAAAAACCAAACTGCATAAGACGATTGTCTTATTTCTGGTTGGTTTCTAACAGATTTCTGAAAATAAATGAATGGGACTCAAAAATATTAAAATAACATTTCTAACTTTTACATAGGTAGGAGCTCTAAGTGGTTGTTCGGAAGATGATGAACAGAAACCAAACCTGTGCCGTATCTGTGGTAAAACTTATGCAAGGCCAAGTACTTTGAAGACACACCTCCGAACGCATTCGGGAGAACGTCCCTATAGGTGTGGTGACTGCAACAAGAGCTTCTCCCAAGCTGCCAACTTAACCGCACATGTGAGGACGCACACTGGCCAGAAACCGTTTAGGTAAATAAAAACATGCAGGCATGAGGGGTCTATGCACCCCCGGTCTTATAATAGGTCGATAAGGATCTTCGTTTCAATATAAAAACTTTTAAAAACATTGCCTGTGCTCATTACTCTGCCACGGTGCCCATCCAATTAAAAAATAAAGTTATGTAAATGAAAACTTAAAAAAGTAAAAGTGGTGCATTTCGTATCGGAGACGGCCATTTTGTTTGTTAATTTCGACTAGGTTACAACACTTTCATCATTCTCGTTTTTCTGCAAATTAGCCTGTAAACCATTTGTTTCCCAACCATTTTCCCTTTTTTCTAAATTTCCACTTTCTTAGAGATGTGACGGATAGTCGTCGTTTCAGCGAATAGTCTTATAAGTACTGCCAATTGAACGAATGTTTGAAGCACCATTTAGTTTAGTCAGTTCAGCACAATTCATTTTTATTTGTATTCTCAATTTTATAGAGCTGCAGCAATTTTATATTTTATACAGATTATGAGACGAAGATCCCAAACTGAATTAAATAGTTATGTGCAACATATTTTTCAAGGTGTCCAATTTGTGACCGACGCTTCAGCCAAAGCTCCAGTGTGACCACACATATGAGAACGCATTCCGGTGAAAGGCCTTACCAGTAAGTAAATTTATATAATATAGTAGAATATAATATTATAAACTATAATACTTGTACATTTTTGTCTATAAGTACCTAAATAAATCTATATATTATCGTTTTTATTACGAGTGAAATAAGGCGTCTTTTGGCTTTTTGACATTCTACTACTTACTACGGATTGTACGCTCTTGTGCCTACCTGAGGGTACTACTTATCTACTTTCTTTTGCCTACTTGGAGTAATAACTTTATTATTCTTTTGATAGTTTCCTTGTTTTTTGTATGTGATGTAATTTAACATCCTTTTTAAAGCGCAGCATGGCACACCGTGCGTCTTTATTCGGTTCGATTCCAACACACCGCCTCACCGTAAACACCGGTGGGGTGACGGCCCGAGGGGGTTTCTACGCGCACAAAAAAGAAAAATCTCTGTCTGATTTGGGATCCGTGCCGAATCGTGTGTGAGATGTGTCGTTTTTTTTATTGTTAGATAATCTAAGTTAACAAAATACATATTTCTTAGTTTAATTTAAGTATACTTAGATTTAAAAAATGTAAAGATATACCTTTATTTACAACAAAAGGTTTATTACTAAATATATACAAATATACATTATTTATATTGTTATAGGTGCCGATCTTGTAAAAAAGCTTTTTCGGATAGTTCTACGTTAACAAAACATTTGCGTATACACTCCGGCGAAAAACCTTACCAGTGTAAATTATGTTTGTTGAGGTGAGGAAATTCCACACATTATTAGCACATAGAACACCTGAAGGTAATTAAAATTCAGTTCCGATTAATTCTCTATCTTACAACTGTCATAAAAGGTTATGGGTTCAAACCCCCCATGAGACGACACTTTGTGTGATCCACATTGTTGTTTTGAGTCTGGATGTTCTTTGTGTTCGTTTCATGTATGTTTGTAAAGTCCCCCGCGACACAGGAATATATTCCTAAAGAAAATAAAAAAAAAGGTATTTTTGTAGTAAGAGTAAAGCATATTACAAATTCAATTTTTGATCACATTGCAGTTAACGTTGCATGTCTAATACTGTTACGAGAGGGGTATATAATAAATAAAAAGGGAAGGTTAAATACTTTACAAACAAGAAATCACTATATAACTCGTTAGTCGCACTAGAAATTCAATCCGATGTTAACTCGCTGTGTCGTAAAACGATACTGTGTCGTATAGTAAATTCGATAGCGCTATAAAGGCGGACCTTTATAGCGCCTATATATTATATCGAATTTACTAGAATAATCCCTAGTATTCGATACTCCATTCCAGACAAACAAGAATATTTCAGCATTAGTCACGCGTTACTTGCAGCACCATCTAGCGCTGTAAGGATCAGAATTATTAATCACAATCTGAATAGTTGTACTTTACTCGATAGTAGATGGCGCTTACTTTTTCTATACAATTCTGGAATAATCGAATTACTTAATCGTATGGCGCAACGATACTTTACTACGAAAATACTTTTTACGACAGTTGTGATCGGAACTGAAAATATGACCGAATTTTTAATATAAGAGAATTGGTCTTCTGTAAAGAGCCAGTGTTGCCAGCTTAGGAGTTTACCCCAAAGAAAAACTAATATTTCCTACTTTCTTCCTGCAGGTTCTCCCAATCGGGTAACTTGAACCGGCATATGAGAGTACACGGCAACATGTCAGGCGGTATGCTCGGCTGACACTTGCAGAGGTGCGGCCTCTCTGCCGCCTACATGTAGGACAACGAAATTACAGTTTAATATGTAATGCTGCGACAAGGATAATACTGACGATAGACCGTAGAGATTGTTTACATGTGCTTATAGTAAATTAAAAAAGCTTGTTAGTAAAGTACAGATTTAGTTCCAACATCAAAGTAGATAAACCAATAAGAGTTTAGTTACAACAAGTGTAATACATACCCATCTTGTAAAACACTTTTCTAGGAAACTCATATTCATTTTAAAAATAAATTTTCACTAATATTACTTAAATAGTCTTACTCATCTTTATGTTTCATATTATCTCTATCTTCGTAATATTTCATAGATAGCGTCAGAGGCTCACACAATCATTGAATGGAGAAATAAAAACACTTTACTGTACACAGCAATACCATTGCCTATAGGTAAAAGGCATATCGCTACAGAAGTCATTACGGTACCGCGTACTAATTTGTTGTGAAAAGTAAATAAAGCCGCTAACTTAAACATTCGAACTTTAACTATACTTATCTGTTACAGATCTGACAGTGCTTTAACGTACCTACGTAACAACGGTTTTACGTAACTACGAAATTACGGTTTTCGTAGCAGATATATAATAGTACAAAATTATAAACATAAATTTGTATGTAATGTGAATTCATCCATGTAGTGGAATATCATCAAAATACAATCTTGAAATATTAGGTAGGCACATAATCAATATCACATCAATAGAATTTGATAGTCCACAGCTGGACATAGGCCCCTCCTTAGAAAGGAGGTTTTAATCAATATACATATGTACCTAATAAAAATTCTCACCTTTTGTTTTGTAAATAGCAAATATTTGTTGTTCCAGTCTTAAGTGATTCTTGTACATAGCTATTGTATGTAAGTATTTTAGACATAAGTTTGAAAGTAATCAAGTATTAATATTGATCTAGTCAATTATAATATAGCCCACTGAATCGTTTTAATAGTAATTTGAAATTCGAAACGTAAAAATGTTGACACATTCTTGAATACTATTTTTTAAAAATGCTGCATATGAGACAATGCTTGTTAATTATTACTGTCATCTCTAGCATTAAGTTATAGGTATGTATTCTTGTGAGTTTTACCAATAAAAGTATTCAAGCACCATTTTAACCGAAATTTAATGTATAAATATATATTATATGTAATTATACAAATGAAATTGTGAAATAAAAGCTTAGTAAAACAATTCGTTAATTTATTTTGAGTTTTATTTAGAATTCTAAAGTTTCTAGCACTGCACCATTTCTTAATTGCAATAAAATAACAAAGATCCAGCACTATCTTTCAGATTTGAGAACCGTATAACAGATATACCTACAATAGTTGTACGTATGTATGTACCGAGCTACGTTGATTTTGTTTTTAATAATTATTAAAAATTTAATATGTTGCAAGAAAGACCCTTATACTTATAGATTAACCTTAAATTTCAAAATCCACTTAATTATTCTTCTAAAATATTATTGATGGCAGATTAAACAGTATTTTTTCTAAAATATATAGAATTCATTGACGTCATTTGAACGTTATAAAATCCTCCTAATGAAATCATGAGTTGTTTATTATTTTCATTAAAAAAATTGAATGACAAACCCTTGGAACACTCATTATTCCGAAGGTTTGGTTTCAATCTGAGGTCTTTAGTATCAGTTCTATTTTACCAAATACTGTTTTAATTTTATGATTTTCATTTATTACTCTCACAATTTTCACTTGTGAGAGTGACAGTGGATCTAACGACACCTCCCAAGCCAAAACCCATCAATCCGTTAAAACTACAGAGCGCGATAAAGAAATATATTGTTGCGCCGTAGGATTGAGTAGATCTTGTTTTGTGACTGGAGAACAGCGACATCTAGTAACAAGTAAAGTACAACTATTGAGAGTGTAATTATCGGAACGGACTATCAAATTTAGTAAATTCGATGGCACTATAAAAGCAACACGATACTGTACTGTACAACGATACTGTGTCGTAAGACCAACACGGAGCGTGTTGGTCTTACGACACAGTATCGTTGTACGACACAGCGAATTAACATCGACAGTAATTAACTGACAACTTTTATTTATTATATAACCCGCTCGTAACAATATCTACATACATACATACACTTGAAAAACGTAAACCTGCTTCTTGACCAGTCGGATAAATAAGAGACCCCTTACACAATAAAAGACAATTAAAAAAAAATTATAATCATTATCATATCATACATATGTATATAACAATATAATATATTTCAGTAAAGGCAAAAGTGGAGGAAGAATAAATAGTGGGTGTCATCGCACTCTGGTATGGTACGGTACATTTTATAGCCGACTTCAAAACGGTCAGGAAGTTCTCACTGGGTTGCTTTTTTGTTTTTTTTTCCTCAGAACTTCGTCATTTATGAATCGATTCTAAAATTCTATTAGTATTTGATTTGGAGAGTATCCATTCTATTTGGTCAAAATTAGAAAAAGAAAACCATTGATGTAGGTGCATTGACGTCGCTGATTCTTTTTAAAGTTCTTTTTAAAGTACAGTGTTTACCGGTGAAGGCACTTTACAGAGTTTACAGTGTAGCGGCATATGAAATTGATATGCGGCATAGTATATTCACTATTATTGAAGGAAAACAAAATTAATTTTGATGTGAATTTGGCTGCAGCGCTGTGACGTACTCTAGTAATATTACTGTACTCTGTGTCTGTAACTGTACGGAAGATGACGATTTCATTTCAAAAGCACCGCTCAAGCCTAGTGTTGTCATGGGTATAAAAACTTTTCTACTATTCATTTTAAGCTTCTCTATAAATAGAGAAAATATCAAAAATCCTATACTTATTTCATTATTAACATAGCTCAACAAAAAAATTTGTAAAGGTAAAATTAAATAAATGATTTTTATTTCACTGAAGATTTAAAATTCGTCTCACTTAAAACCTAGGTCTGTTTACCAATCAGTTTTGCTAATATTATCTTATTCTTTGGATTTGTTTTATTTACATTTAATATAAATCACAATAAGGAAGTTTAAACAAAAATATATTTTTTTTAACGAGAAAAACCGTACCTATCTGTAGAATTCAAAGAATAAGCGAAAGCGAATCGTGCATTGAATGAACGAACCCAACAGTTTGACACATCATGTTACTTCGTGATCGCAAGATTCCTTAGTCCGGATTGTTCATTGTAATAATTTCGCTATTTTACGTCTGACACTGGCACAGGAGCTTCATAGTTAAGCAATTAATAATACAGGTGTTAACATCGCTACTGTCTGTTAGTAACTGCGTCGCTAAAACAGTTTTTTAGTTATATCCGGCGAAATAGGTATCTTGAGATCGGTTACATTTTCAGTGCTCGAAATCGTAAACTGCTTGTAAATATGAGTGAAAGTTCACCAGACGAGCCGAGTTCTAAAAGAAAAGACTTCATTTGCGGTGTTGTTGAAGGTAATTGTTATTTATTATAGGTAAAAATGTTCTTGTTGGATTTCCTATAGCTATACATTGTCTAAGTTTTTGATGGTGTGAATGACCTAAGCTTATTATTGCAGGCTTTTATGGACGGCCCTGGACTACTGAACAAAGAAAGGACTTGTTCCAAAAGTGAGTATTGTCTACAATAACAATAAGAACTAATTCAAGTAGATAATGAGATAAATAAAGACTAAAACAGCTATTGATGCTAAATTTGTTATTTTAAACTTTTTATTTATCAAGTAAGTTAAATAAACAGTCTAATTACGTATAAAATTAATAGTTTTTATCATTATTTACTTAGGAAGAATGTTGTAGGCCAAGATATTATTAAAATCTGATAATTATAAGTAATTATACTTATTGTTTTATAATCAAATCAAAACAATGATTTGAATGTGTTTAACTTAAATCTATGGTACCACGTTTTGATGAATATTGGACATAATACATCAGGTATTCCGAATTTCCGAATTTGTGATGTAAATATCCATTATCTAGTTGTTAAAACTAATAATTTGAATAGACGGTATAATGACTGCCTATCTTATGAGGTTAAAGCAAATAGGGTATTTAAATTTGATGGAAATTTTATTTAGTATTTGTTCCTAATCGCATCAACCTCTCATGTGTATAAACACAGAACAAGTGCATAGGTAGCAATTGTTACTAGAACCCACATTAATATTATAAAGGTGAAAGGTTTGTGAGTGGGTGTTCATATACTTGTTACTTCTTCACACTCAAACGGCTGTACCAATTGTAATAAAATTTGGTTTAGAGGTAGCTGGTAACCTGGATTAACACATAGGCTACATTTCAAAAAATATACTGTTCCTATGGAGTGTGGGATTAACTAGGAATTGAAAAATGAAAATATTTTACTCACCAGGTTATAATGAATGTTTTAGTGTATCTAATAAATTAGAGGTAACTACGCAGCGTGCAGCTAGTTCTTAAATACATTTTATTTTGATTGTTTGTTAAATTGAGGTTCATCAACTTTTAACAGTCCACTGCTAGACAAGGAGGTCCTCGGAAAGGAGGTTTTGGTAGACTATACCATGCTGGCCAGATGGGTTGGTATAGGGTTTGTGTCAAGTTTTCCTTCTCTTTGCAGTGCTGTTTTCTTGCATAGTTTGCTCCCTTAGATGGCTCTTACGACACCCTCGGCCTAAATGCCTAAATGTGACAGTGGTGACACTGTATTAACGTATTACACATATTATTTATGTTACTTAACCTCCATTTTTTACGATATTTTATTATTGTTATTGCTTATAGAGCAGCCATTTGATACAATTGATATTTTTCTAAATCCTGTTATCAAGATTTGTCTTTAGATTTATAATTTATGAAGTTTGTTGTAGAATTTATTTCCGACTACCGCTGAAGATGAATATTCAGATTCTAACTGCACTATTGTTAATGAAGAATAAATACTTGAGATATCGGTGCATGATTTAAGCTGTAATTATATCTACATTAGTGTCACTAGTTATTCATTTTTCTAATGTTGTAGTGTTCATCAAAGTCTTATTGGATTCCAATAGGTCTTAATACCCTTAATAATCCTTCTGTGTCTGTGATTAACAAGATTTCCTAATAATTTTAATTAAAAAAGCATGGTTGTAAGTTTGTTTGCCCAATTTCTTATAGCATTTAACAGATGCACTTCATGAAAGAACAAGATACACAGTTATCTCCTATACATTGTCTTAAAAACTTTTAATTAGGCAAAGGATATTATTGCTATGACTGTGTGTGTTATTTATATCATTATTATCATCAACAGCCTTTACTAGTCCACTGGTGGATATAGGCCTCTCCTCAGAAAGGAGGTTTTGGCCTACTATACCATGCTGGCCAGACGGGTTGGTATAGGGTTTGTTTCAAGTTTTCGTTCTCTTTGCGGTGTGATCATTCTGCGTAGTTTACTCCCTTAGTCGGTACTTACGACACCCTCGGGATGAATAGGGGTTTTGACCCTCTGTATTCTTAATCCGTCACCACAAAGTCATTTATATACTGTCAAAAAAATTAATTAAAAATTTCAAATAAATGGAGATAATTTTTATGAAATAAATATAAAAAGACAAGCTTATCTAAGGCTGTTAGTTCTGAATTATAGATAGTTTAGTCTCAATGCGCACTTTTAAGATGTTGATGACTATCATATATATGGTTTCAAAGACCTTTCTTGTAAAAGAACTATACGCTTTTAATACATACTAGAATCCGCCCGCTTCGCCTGCTTGTATTTCTGTAACCGTAATCCTTTTTTCGCAGGTTCGTTTTAAAAAGTTCTAGCCTATGTTCTTTCTCAAGAGTCAAACTATATCCACACCAAATTTCATGTAAATCAGTTCAGCAGTTATTGATTACCCATACAAACTGCCACCCCCCTTTTCACCCCCTTAAAGGACGATATCTGGGATAAAAACTGTCCAATGTTCTTGGCCGGGACTCAAACTATCTGTATACCAAATTTTCATCTAAACCGGTGCAGCAGTTTTAGCGTGAAGACAGACGGACACACTTTTCCATTTATAATATTACTATGGATAAATATATTACAGATTAAAAAAATGGGGGATGGATATGTACGTCTACGCCCCAAAAGATGACTACAAGCACCGCGCGTACTGGAGAGAGCTGTACACTGTGGAGGAGGCAGAACACCTGACATCCCTGATAACGGCTGCCAAGGCCCAGGGTATAGTGTTCTGCTATGCACTGTCACCTGGTTTGGATATCACTTATAGTAATCAGAAGGAGATCACTACATTGAAGAGGAAATTGGAACAGGTGAGTGTGTCCTTAATTTATCCATTTTTTTAAGACTCAAGTGTGGAGGAACGGGTGACATGTCCCTCCAACACAAAGGGAGGATTCTCCGACCAGGCGAGGTGATCATGCCTGGCGGGCCGCGGCCCAGCGGTTGATCTTGGGAAGTTGCATATATGCTAACCGGCGAGGGAATTCTTTATATCGCGATACAGGATTAGCAATTCTTATTTTAGTAGTTACTCCGTAGTTCGGTGTGTCTTCATTAGATGGCGCTGTAGTATGTTTATGTGTCGAGTCGCCACACAAGTAATAGATCATGCATTGATAAGCATAAGGATCCAAAATAATGTAAGTACATATTAATTTATTTATGTTTTGTTTGTTTCAGGTGTCCCAATTTGGTTGCACGTGTTTCGCCCTGCTATTTGATGATATAGAACCGGAAATGAGTGAAGCAGACAAGCAGATTTTCCAGAGTTTTGCTCATGCGCAGGTGAGGCATTATTTATAGGGGACTACATACAATATTTTTTATTAGTAGATAAAGTAATATTAATAATATTTCGAACACCTAACACACAACGCCATCTCGTTTCAAACTAAGCAGAGCTTGTACTATGAAAGTTTAATTGACTGATAGAACACTTAATTATTTTTTTTGTAAATACAAACATATTATACATAGAAAACTGACAAAAATACTTGCAGATTATACAAACATTTGGTCCAACCCGGGAATGGAACCCGAGACCCCAGCACAGTTGTCGCATACGCTACCACTGCGCCTCCTAAACAGTCAAAGTGCTTAGTCAGATCACAATATGTATTCAATTGGGCGATATACTATGGGGATCTTGTGTCAACTAGGGTGAATTTACTTGCGATTCTGCCATACATATTATAGAAATCATAATAATTTGTGGCTGTGGTGCTTCCCTGTTTAAAAAAGTGTATGCGTATTTTACTTCATTTTGTCGCCCGCTTTGCTAAGGAGGGAAGTGACTCCAATTTTATTCTGATTAATGTCGTTGCGGGTTCCAAGACAGTTTACTTTTTTTCCTGGGACTTCCCGAGTGTCATAACTCGGTGTGTTCGTAGGTCACTGCTGTTGATTCTGATGTACAGGAGTTACAGTGGTGGACGTGTGGGAGGGATTAGTCCCATGTATCCAATTATAGTGAATCAAGTCTCCTTAACTGGTTAAGGGTTACATATATGTATAAAGGGTAATTGGGTTAAGTCGACCTAGAGTATAATATACCGAGTTTTGTTTGCTCTTTCTTCGCATGAGACTCAACCCCTTGGAAATGGGCGGTTGAAGATCGGCACAGGTGTATAAGAGATTTTCGATACGTATTTATTTAGTTTGCTAAATATTTTTCAAACTGAGATTATTGTTATTGTGTGTTTTGATCTATGACTTTAGAATCTACACAAGAGACGATTTCAAATAATTTTAAAAACTTCTTGAAATGAAGATATTTTGAGTTTGAGTATAAATTCTATCTTTAATTATTTTTTTACTACTACTACTAACTAATTGGCCAGCATGGTCTGAAATAAAAAGTTTATTATTATTAGTTTGTTTTCATTACCAAAAATTGTAATTAAGAAACTGGGCCGAACTAAATGGTAGATCGGCAAAAAATATTTATAATAAGCCTAAAAGTCCAGTATCTTGAAAATGGTTAGGTTTGAGATATGATATTTCATAGTGAAATCTAATGGGCACTACAACCCCCTTTTTCTGTTTTTTTTTCCATGCGGAAATCCCCTCGGATACCACCTATCGGTGGCATGTCGGACTCGAACCGACTAAAACCGCACACCGTCTCGGATACTAATAGCCGGGGAACCAGGTATACCCTAGAAAGGAAGTCCCTGGTGCCCCGACATACCTCGGGTCATCTACAGACGAGTAGACGACCCCCCCCCCCGTGTGGGAACCCCATGTTCCCTGTGCTCCCTGGAAGCGAGCGCGCTTCGCAACGCGCTCGCCGCCACCCCGGCCTGCTTCTGCTAGGGTAACAGATGGCCTCACCTGTCACCCCCAGGCCTGCGCTTATGGAGGACGGAGGTCGTTCTGCGACCTCCGGCGCCTGAGTCGCCTGCGGTACCTGGCCCGTTCCCGGGCCTGGCGGGCCGGGAGAGTCCTAAACCTCTCCCGGTCCCGCTCCGCCGTCTCCTTCGCGAGCATAACTTGCTCGCAGAAGGAGACGGCAGAGTTCCACGCACTCTCGCTCCGCACGATAGCCGCAATCAGGCTATCGAGCGAGAGAACTCCCACTCCGACACTACAACCCCCTAAAGTATCTAGGTCGACTTAACCAGTAACCCTGTATAGACAGTTTATCTATCCACCTATCTTCTTTTGTGTATTACACGTAGATGTTAAACAATCAAGTTATCGTTATAGTTCGCAATCTACTGACAGTTGCAACTTTTTCAACTCAACTAATCCGACATGTCTCTGTAATCTAAAGGAATATTCTAAAAAACCTAGGTTTCTTTACCGATTTGTGAGTAAAAATAGACAAAAAAACAGTCGGACTGCATTTAAAATAATTGCTCAGTCGTTTGAATAATGGTTCTGTGAATTTTAATGTGTAGAGCTGTGTAGTTTTTCAAGAAAAAATTACTTATTCAGTATAAATCCTAACTAATATTATATACTAGCTTTCGCCCGCGGCTCCGTCCGCGTATATGTCGGTTATGGCGGTAAAACGGAGCAAATGCCCTTTATCAAGAAGATTCCCCCATACAATCTGCCATTTCTCCTTTTCACTCCCTTAAAAGATGATTTCTGGGATAAAAACTATCCTACATCGAACCCGAGACCTCAGCACAGTTGTCGCATACGCAAAGTGCCTAGATTCAATTGTAGTGAGTCAAGTCTCCTTGACTGTTTAAGGGTTACATATGTATACAGGGTTACTGGGTTAACTCGACCTAGATACTTTAGGGGGTTTGTAGTGGTCATTATTACTAACAGATTTCACTATGAAATTATCCCAAACCCAACCATTTTCAAGATATTGGACTTTTATATGTCCTTTCAAGAATCAGATTGTCTCCATACCAAATTTCATATGCATCGGTTCAGCGGTTATTGATTCCCCACACAACCTGCTCTCTTTTACTCTCTTAAAGGATGAATTCTGAGATAAAAACTACCCTAAATCCCGGCACTCAAACTATCTCTATGCCAAATTTCAACAAAATCGGTTCAGCCGTTTAAGCGTGAAGAGCTAACAGACAGACACACTTTATCATTTATAATACCACATTAGTATGGATAAGAAGTGAGTTAACTTGTGCATTTGTTGTTTGCCATTTTGTGCCATATTACAATGTGGATGGCATAGAACATGAGTATCTCCTATCTCGGATAAGAGATCGTTCACTAGAAAGAAGATCTCTTATATGTTTTTTTTTCAAGGTACAGGAGGCAAACGAGCAAACAAATCACCTTATCTACCCTCTAAGACTTAGGATGGAGGGGTTTAAAATAAGAATAGATTTATTTCAAATAGGTATGTGGTTTTAGGGCCTTAGGGGTTTAGGGCGCAAAATTCTGTGACACGTGGGATCTATATAGGACAGACAAAAAATGAGATTTGATTGCAAATTGAAGCAAATTACAGCGGCCGCAGCTTAAGGCTTGTATTGCACAGGCCATGGATAGATTTTATTATACAGTTTCTTACTTCGATTTCCGCTCATCAGGTTAATCACATCATCACATCAACGGCCTTTAATAGTCCACTGCTGGACATAAGCCTCTCCTTAGAAAGGAGGTTTTGGCCTACTATACCACGCTGGATAGACGGGTTGGCATAGGGTTTGTGTCACGTTTTCCTTCTCTCTGCAGTGCTGTTGTTCTGCGGCGTTTTCTCCCTTAGTCGGCTCTTACGATACACGAGATGAATAGGGGTGGTGACACTCTGTATTCTTAATCCGTCACCACACGGATCAGGTTAATAAAGAATATAAATAATATAGAACTAGCTGGTGCCCGGACTTAGTTAGGGTGGAATTTTAAAAGTGCTGGCTTAGTGAGTTCGATTCCAGGATTTGGCAAAATTTTATAGGATTTTTCTCAGAGGAAAAATAGCAAAAGTTACTTGTTATATAGACAGCCGCCTAGTAGTAAAATATTATCAAAATCAATCCGTTCAAACAGACTGACAGACAGACAAAAAATATTTACAACTGGTTTTTAGGCATAGGTATCGTGCAAATAACCATGTGAGCATGAAAAAACCTATTATATTGGTATTACAAACAGACTTCAATTTTATTTATTTGTATATATAATGTTTACTTATTACATCTAAGACGAGATAACAAAATAATGCTATCCAATACTAGCATTTTAGTGAGTTTAAGAAATCCAAAAATAACTAGGCGATGTGTATTTGTGTTTATGTGTGTACTGCGTATGTGAGAGAGATTTATGGAATATTAGGCTTTTGGCACAGATTACCCCCCTAATATATTCCGCATACCGTGTAGTGACGGATTAAGAATACGGAATGTCACTACCCCAATTCATCCCGTGGGTGTCGTAAGAGTCGACTAAGGGCGCAAAACAACGCAGGATACCAGCACTGCAAAAAGAAGGAAAACTTGACACAAACCCTATACCAACCCGTCTGGCCAGCGTGGAATAGTAGGCCAAAACCTCCTGTCTAAGGAGAGGCCTATGTCCAGCAGTGGACTATTAAAGGCTGTTGATGATGATGTCTTAAAAGTATACTAAAGTATTCCATTTAAAATATTTTATGAATTTTGTTAAGTAAATACCAACTTTCCAAAAAAAGAGTAAATATTTTGAATGATTAAATTGACGATTTAAGCAGACCTTTGCAATCAACCTATGAAGAAGATATTTGCTATTTTCATTGAAGTACTTGAAAGTCAAGTTCGATGATGATGATGATGACAGGGCCACAAAGGCACGCAACACATACTTGCTGTCGTGACGCTAAGGATGACGACATTAGTAACGACCAAGTTGCTGTCTCGTACGCACGTCCGAGTTCTTGACATTTTAAAGTAGTTTTATATCAAAATAAATTAGAAATAACTTCCTGTACAGTGAAATGGTGTGGCAAGTCAGCTAAGACATCTAGTTATCAAAAAGATGGTATATAATTTACTTACCGATGAAATATTATCGGTAAGTAAATTACGTTAACCTATTTCAAATGCACCGTAGTTAAACTTATCCCCCCCGCAACCCTTGCATACCGCCAAATTTTGTGAACTCGAATCGGAACAAAAATTTTCAATAATGCGGCATCTATTGGGTGATAATCTGTGGGTTTCGGTAACCCCACGAACCTCACTTGGAGAGATGCAACGAAATAATTACTTAATACATTTTTTGTGCAACCATTCGAACAAATGGGAACGAAGTTCACAACAAAATAAAGAATATACAGGGTGTAAGGGACGTCGTAACGAATACTGAAATAGTGTATTTAGACCATGATTCTGAGTTGAAAATCCTTGGAATTTTCTGCTTAAAAATCATCAGATTTTTTTTCATAATTTTCCATTTTTTTGTTAAAAATGATATCACAATGAGTACAGAGCATTTCACCGAAAACAAATTAATAAATACCGCATACAGTAACTTCAGTGTAATCAAACAACTGAAGCGCTCGGGGCCTCCCCTTCAGCCGCCAACTTGTGTTAGTGTGCTTAGACTGTTTGCACGGAATACACATGTGGTTATTACTTTTGTGTGATACCTACGGGGAATGACCTTTACCTTTGACAGCTAATAGGGAATATGCATGTATTTTTTTTTATTTTTTTAAACGATTCTACTAGTTATTACATTACCAAATATAAATATAACACATCCGAAATATAAACCGTTAAGCAAAAAAAAATTTATCAAAATCACTATCATTTTAGGGCAATTTGAACACGTCCATTTTGGCGCGCTTTTTTTGACGTCAGATTACACTTTCAGACGAATTCGATGTTGACAACGGAGTGAAGTTCACAAAGTTTGTGAAAGTTAAAAAAGTGAGTGATAAAAATTAACTTATTACCATGGAAAAGCCAATAAAAACTTATTATAAATATTGTGCCGTTCCTTTGTGCCCAAATAATATCAAAACTGCACCTGACAATGTATATTCAGTCATTGTGTTGAGTCTTTCTACACGGGCATTTAATAATTTAACACTGAAAACGTATTAGTTATTAACTTAAAATGAAACAAATAATCACCAGAAACCAAATATTACAAATACACACAACTTGTTGACACTCTTGACAGTGTAGGTTGACGTCACGTTTTATTCAATCAATAGCGTTGCGTTTTAGAAATTTGGGAGGGAATCTTAAAAAAGCCAATTTTTGATGATTAAATTTCACTATTAAATTATAATAAATTTCAAAAATTATTGTATGGGTATCTTTTTTTAGCAATAAAAATTACAAATAAAAATATTTTGTCTATTTTGGTGTCATGTGCATATTCCCTATTGCATAAAAAGTTTAATTTACAGGTAGAAAATCCCAATGGTGTTAGACTCAAAATTATGGTGGAATACACTATTTCAGTATTCATTACGATGTCCCTTACACCGTATATAGTAGGTACTACTAACCCTTATAACCTGACCTGGCAGGTGTCTGTGACCAACGAGATCCACCAACACCTGGGCTGTCCTCGGTTCCTGCTGTGCCCAACACAGTACTGCTCCACCCGCGCCGTGCCTACTGTCAACAACTCCGAGTATCTCAACACTCTGGGGACTAAGCTGTCACAGCAAATAGATATTATGTGGACTGGTGAGTATTGGTTTAAAGAGACATTTTAGTATCTCTTAGAAAATTGTATAAACACTATGGTTCTTAAAGTTATTAACGTGTTATGAACATATATAATTAACGTAATATATTTTTCAATTTTTTTGCTAATAAATTAGTGGAATTGCTTTATTCTTCTTTCTTTGTGGGTTATTTTTGGCATCACAAGTCTTCAGAAGCTTAATTAATCTTTTAAAATAAAGTGTAAATAGTCAATAATAATATTTTCACACATCTTACATACGGCCGTCTGATCCCAAACTAGGCAGAGCCTGTACTATGGTACCATGTTTGGTACATTGTACAGGCTCTGCCTAGCTTATGGTACATATGTTTACCAGACTGCTGATAAACATACTTATATATTTCAATGACACAGAAAAAATGACCATGCTCATCACACAATCATTTTTCCAATGCTGGAATCGAACCTTTCTGACGTAGCATTCAGGGTCACTAACCACTAGTCCAACAGGATAGCCAACTTAAATACTAAGTAAATGTTGCGTGCTATAAATATCAAATATAATCCGTTCGCGTTAAGAAAAAAGTGACGAATCGATTAAGCCCTGCACCCTGACCTAACTACTTGGAACTTAACTAATTTCTTGGAACTTCCTTGGTTAAGGGGCGGGGCTTTATCCATGCGTAAGGACTAAGATTCACTAATAACTGCAACGAGTAACAAATATTCTGTTGTGTTAATTCATCATCGTCATCAACAGCCTTTAGCAGTCCATTGCTAGACTTAGAGCTCTCCTTATAAATGAGGTTTTGGCCTACTATACCACGCTGGACAGACGGGTTGGTAGAGGGTTTGTGTCAAGTTTTCGTTCTCTTGGCAGTGATGTTGTCCTGCGTAGTTTGTTCCTGAGTCAGCTCTTACGACACCCACGGGATGAATAGGGGTGGTGACACCATATTCTTACTCCACGTGTCACCACATGGATTAGCTTCATTGACTGATTGGTTTATTCATGGATTGTTTCAGGTCCAAAAGTGATATCAAAAACGTTAACAACGGAGTGTATAGAAGAGATCACTCAAGTGCTGCGACGTCCGCCTGTGATATGGGACAACCTCCACGCCAATGATTACGATCAAAAGAGAATATTTTTAGGTAAGTGCAGATTGATGGTATATTATGAATATATATATATATATATATATATATATATATATATATTCTACCACATACACACAACGCCATCTAGTCCCAAACTAAGCAGAGCTTGTACTATGGGTACTAGACAACTGATATAAATACATATATACTTTTTTTTGTAAATACATACCTACATATTATACATAGAAACACCCAGACCAAATCAAACATCAAATGTTCATGCACACTAATGTTTGACTTGAGCGGGAATCGAACCCGCGACCTTTGGAATAGCAGTCCGTTACACAAACCACTACGCCATCCAACGGTCCTCTTGAAATTTTCGTCAGGAGTACAAAGAATGATATAGGGTAACTTGCATTCAAATTATGTTACTTTCAGAGGTGTATAAAACTAATGTTACTGCGAGTGAAGCTTCGGGCGTAACTAGTCCATGCTAATATTGTCTGTCTGTTACCTCTTCACGCTTAAACCGCTGCACCGGTTTAGATGAAATTTGGCATAGAGATAGTCCGATTCCCGAGAAAGGACACAGGGTAGTTTTTATCCCAGAAATCATCTTTTAAGGGTTTGAATAGGGGGGTGGAAGTTTGTATGGGAAATAAATAACCGCTGAACCGATGTAGATGAAATTTTGGTATAGAGATAGTTTGATTCTTGAGAAAACACAGGCTAATTTTTACTGGGATAACCGACGTTTACGCGGGCGGAGCCGCAGGCAAAAGTTCGATACATCTATACTAATATTATAAAGCTGAAGAGTTTGTTTGTTTGAACGCGCTAATCTCAGGAACAGGTCCGATTTAAAAAATTCTTTCAGTGTTAGATAGCCCATTTATCGAGGAAGGCTATAGGCTATATATCATCACGCTAAGACCAATAGGAGCGGAGCACCAATGAAGAATGTTTCAAAAACGGAGAAAATTTATTACTATTGAGAGACGCAGACGAAGTAGCGCGGGTCAGCTAGTGTACATATATAAACTAATTTAATGTATTTTTTTCAACTAACTAACCCTATGAATCCAAATATTTTGAATAACACGAATATTAAACATACAGCATAATTTTATTATTCTGTAAATTGAAATTTCATTGATTCTTAATTAACACTTATTATATTAAATACAAGTCTTATACTACTACAATGTTCTGTAAATAATGCGTACACATATACATAATAAATATTTTTTTCCATATTCTCTCAGGACCATACTGCGGCAGATCACCGGAACTGATCCCGTTACTGCGCGGAGTGTTGACGAACCCCAACTGCGAGTACAACGCGAACATGATCCCGATATGGACGCTTGCGCACTGGGCCAGTTGTAGCCTCGATGCGCCCGCGCATAGTAAGTGTATGAATATGAAACAATTTTCAAGTGAATTAGTCAGCATTATACTGTTGCTAGAAAGTATGTCAACACTAAAGCAAATAAAATGACTGCCTTGGAGGTTGCTTCGCAAATCGACAAGGAAATTATGATTTGCGTTAAAAAGCTTACAAATGATACAAACTATCTTTTTATCTAAACTTCAAATGTAAGGAATTAATAATAGATTAAAATTAACTTAATTAAATTCAAAAGACTGCATGGATGGCGTAGTGGTTTAAGCGGTCACCTTCCCGCTTAGTGTTGTGAGTTATATCCCCACATGGGACAACACTTTGCGTAATCCACAAATTGTTGTTTTGAGTCTGGGTGTTCTTTGTGACCGTTTCATGAATATTTGTGAAAAATATTCTTGTGCAGGAGTTCTCTTTTTTCAAAGAAAAACAAAAAAATATTAAAAGTACAGTAAATATTAATTGTTAGCTATACATTAAAAAAAGACGGATTAGTTACACCATTTATATCTTAAGAGTGGGTTTTTATAAAAATTTTTTTTATTTCTCGCCGCCCGGAATAAACAGCAGGGTATACTCGTATTTATTTATTTATACATCTTTATTGTACACCGCTACAGTATATATTGTACAGACATGGATGGACATCTACATGTGGTATTACAATAGGCGGTCTTATCGCACACGGCGTTATTAAAATATTCACGAATATAATATGAACTTTTGTTTTGCCAGTGGAGGCTGTGTCGTGGGACATCAAGTTGGAGCGAGAAGGGGAGCAGGGCGTGTGCGAAGATGAAGTGCCGCTCACGCTTGGCAAGCACGTGTACCACCATAGACAAGCGCTCAGGTACGTTTAAAAAAAAAAATACTGACATAAAAAGGATTTTCAATGCCATTGATTTTTTGTGTATGCTATGCAATATCTTGGAAACCTTTTCTTGTGATTAATGCTTTAGTCAAAGTTGCTAAGTTTTAATTTAATATTTAACTTAGAGGTGGAAAATGAGCACAAAAAATACAGTACAGATTAATACAAATTATGATTTGGCGTTTTTGAAGTCCATAAAACTATTATAAAATTTAATTATAATCTATTTGTTTAAATGTAGTAGGTATGTAAATGTGGTTTTATGTTTACATATGTATTTATAGGTTTATTCATATCGTATATAGATGGTTGGTTAAGTTCTTTTATTTTATGGTATATGGGGGCAGACGAGCAGACGGGTCATCTAATGGTAAGCAATTACCGCCGCCAATGGAGTCTCTCCCGCTGTAGCCAGCTGGAGGGGGGATTTGGGCTCCCTCACTCACTGAGTGAAAGGCAACGAAAGAATTTGCTTAACACCGGTTTTCTTATTCTGTGAACTTTATCAGAAAACACGTTATGTCTTGCAGCTCACTGTCTAGATTTTTTCGTAAATGAAATGTTTTGCATATAGGTCGTAACACTGATTGCATAACATATTATAACGTATTGCTTTAAAAATAAGGTTTATTATAGAAAAATACACAGTGCAATTTCAAAGCAGGCATCTCGTTTAGTGAGACATTAATTTTTATTTAGAATTATATGATTACAGACAAGCTATCGACGAATGGCTGCCTGAATTCGCCATCCCCAAGACAGCCCAGGGCCCGGTTATTAAACCGCAGCCGACGGTGACAGGTAATTTGTGTACGTGACCTCTGCATTTATTTAACTATTAATAATCTATACCTATTAGGGTTGATGGAGTACTGTTAAGTTGTGCTCCAACTCCAACTTGACTGCACGGATGGCGTAGTCGCCACGCCGCTTCCTACTACGCCGAGTGTTGTGGGTTCAAACCCCACATGGGACGACACTTTGTGTGATCCACAAATTGTTGTTCTGAGTCTGGATGTTCTTTGTGTCCGTTTCATGTATGTTTGTAAAGTCTAATGCGGGAGTTGTCTTTTTAAAAAAAAAAAAGAAAAAAAAAAAATAGGGCTGCCTGACTGGGGTAAGTTCCCTTGCCTTTGTGATTCTGCTGCTCAGTATAGTTGCAACAGTCAGTAGGGTAGAGTGGAATCGAAAGTTGCGTCAGTAAGGATTCCACAGATTTGTCCATAGGTGGTCAAAATGCGTTGTGATTTTTATTTTTAACGTGCAGTAGTATTTGCATCTCATGAAAAAGACGTTTCGAAATTTTAAAGCATCTTTTTGAGTTAGAAACCAAAGATTTAAAATTATTTCTTTTAAGACAAATCATCTGGATACTAATATATAAATAGATCTCACAACAAAAGTTTTTTTTTAATCTTATAACAAAAGCACTTTGAAATTAAGAGTCGATTTCTTTTTAACTCACACTACTAAAAACTCATTTTTTTTTCAAACAAAACCTTTGCCTTCTGAGTCACAGTCTCAGCTAGTTCATTACTCCTATATATTGCTAAAAATAGCCTAAAATGTAGTAAGTGGAAGCAATTTTAGTTAAGTTCCTTTGCTTTAAGCATATAATGTAGTGTAGTACTCTCTAAGTGTCTATTGTCTATTAGGCTTATAACTGTAATTAAAGAATTTCGAATTAAGTCACTATAATAGGTAGGTAAGGTCTCACATCAAATGTCCCTTTACCACTGTTCATCACTTTCGAATTTCAAACCGAAGCTTCTACAAAATATTCTTTTAAAACAACATCCAAGCATTTACGCGATCTAAACTTATGAAACTCATATAAAACATCAACCGACTGTGCGTTCCAGTGCCGCCGGTGCCGATAATCCCAATCTTACCGTCGGTGAACACGTGCATGTCGCTGATGACGGCCACGCACAACACGTCGACGACGAGCACGGCGGACATGACGCCGGCCATCCCCACCGTCAACACCAGCCAGCTGCAGGCGCTGGCCGACGTCTGCTCCGCCTCCAACGACCGCCCCATCCTCTCCACCAGGGTGAGACCCTTCACCTCACTTACTATTCTCGATGACAGTGACAACCATAGAGAAACAAGCATGAGAGAGAACATGGGGTATAGCTGCCTGTAAATGGAAACCATACAGGCAATGAGAAGATCGATGCCCGATATTTCCCTCTGTCTCTGTTAAGCTGTCTGTTTAGCTAAGCTGCGATTGGCTAGTTATCAACCACTCATATTCCCCAGCCAACCACATAGCTCGACTAGAAAGAGATAGAGGGGGCTATCTATTATCCATCTCTCTCGTTGCCGGTATTGCAAGATTGGGGCTTTTGTTCTCTCTAGGTTATATCTCTTAGGTGACAACACTCCTTTAAAAGTGCATTCCTGATATAAATATTACGGTAAGAAAATTGTACTTATTAAATATGATCTTACGCAAACACAGGGAATTACAATAAAAGTTGAATCCTAATAAAAGAAGGAATGACAAAGTATGTGATGTGGAATTCTGTAGATTGGAGCTGTCGAAAAGGCACTATTATTATTTGGCTCCCGTATTATATAACAAGGTGAATAAGGTGTTGCGTATCTACCCTTGTATATTTCGTGAATGTAAACATAAAGTAACGCAGTGGTTGCTTGCCCTAAATTATAATGATACCGAACGTCTCCTGACACGACCTCAATGAGAAATTCGATCAATCTTAAATTGATGAGTTTTGGAAACACCGGCCTAAAGACACACACATGTACACATACATATGCTCTTTCAAACACCACACACATGCACAGACGAACACACACACACACACGTATGCACACACACACACACGTATGCACACACACACATACACACACACACACGCGCGCGCGCGCGCGCGCACAAACACACTAACAATTCTACGTATTCTGACCCACACTTCTTATAACATTGTTAAATTAATTCATAACTTTGATTTGGTTTATATTCAGCAAGCATGATGAAACTTGAAACCTGTAACTTATCTTCCGGAGGTGGGCGTTAATGGCTGCAACACAGTTATGAACTATAGCAGTCATTATCAACCATATTCTACTGTGCAATTTGTTACTTTTAGTTACAAAGAATAAACTTTTTATGTTATGTTTTAAATATTATTTTCAAAAGTTAGCTTATATTTTAAGCCTAAACTGAGCCAAAAAAAAATAAAAACTAAACATACTTATTTGGAAAGAGTTGACAGCGGCATATTAAACACCCACATTGCTGACTATCAGTGTGGTGATGGATTAAGAATACGGAGTGTCAAAATCCCAATTCATCCCGTGGGTGTTGTAAGAGGTGACTAAGGGAGCAAACTAGGCAGGACCACAGCACTGCAAAGAGAATTAAAACTTGAAGCGTGGTACAGTAAGCAAAAACCTCCATTCTAAGGAAAGGCCTATGTCCAGCAGTGGACTATTAAAATTACACCGTCCATCACTTATTTTACTCCCTCTGGCATGAAATTTCCAAAATCAATTCTTAATCATCACACCTGTGACTGATATACAAAACCACTACTACTTACTTTGTTGCTTCCTATCAAGTGGCCCGTCTGCTCGTTTGCACCCTATTCCATAAAAAAAAAAAATTACGCTAGCGCAAGACTATAAGAATCTAAAAAAAAAAGTCGTAATCTTTGATAAAAAGACTTTTGATTGGTAATAATGGCATTTATCTTAGTCGATGACAAAATCACAATCACATGTGAAATCGCTGCTACCAAAACAAACCATTTCATCATATGAATATGATTTAAAAGTAGCAACAATTTTCATGTTGTGTAAATAAATATTTCTTTATAATTGCAGGTATCACCGATCGAAACCCTAAACCCCGTTCCGAACCCCGTCATGAATTCCCTGGTATCCCCAACCAAAGTCATACTAAATGAATCTATACCCAACCCTATTATACCCATCGCTAGCTCAAACATGTCCATACCTTCAGAAATCCCTGTATCAACCCTCCCAGTACCTATCCTGGGGTTGAAGGCTTTAGAGGAAAGTGGGCACAAAGTGGACATGAACAAAACAGAGGACACTTTGCTCAGTGACAGCATTTTGGAGAATGAGAGCTTCGAACGCCTAAAGAAAGTGCAAGGTGGTGATGATCTTGATCAGATTATTGTGGATGACGTTGAGGCTCAAGTCGAGGAACAGCAGAGGAATGGGGATATGAGTATTGGAGGTGAGATTTTTAGATGTAATGTTGTACAGTCGACAATAAAAGAGAATCTAAAAATTATAATTTAAATGTATATTTAAAAGTATTTTATAAACGCACACTACATGAATAGACAGTATTTACGGTTGTTGTTAACTGTATTTGTTTTTTTTTTAATTAAAACTATCACTAAAACCGTAGTTCTTGGATGAATATAATAATATAAAAATAAAACCGATGATACCAGTAAATCATTGAAGTAATACAAAACATAAGTAACTGAAAAAACACAGCACAAGACGGGTTGTTGTGGCGAGTGGGAGGCCTATTTCCAGCAGTGGATGTCTTTCGGCTGATATGATAAACAGAACTGCTTTCTCAAAGGACAGAACTGGTTTCTGCAAGACGTAACGTGTTATCTGATAAGATTCACAGAATAGGGCCTCACAAAAAACCGGTGTTAAGCAATTCTTTCGTTGCCTTTCACTGAGTGAGTGAGGTTACCGGAGTCCAAATCCCCCTTCCGCTGACTCGAGCGGGAGAGACTCAAAGGGCGGCAACGCGCTTGTGACTTCTGAGTTGCAAGCGTTCATGGGCGGCGGTAGTCGGGTAGTCAGGTGACCCGTCTGGTCGTTTGCTCCCTATTCCATAAAAAAAAAGATAAAGAATGCATAATATTCCAATAAATTCGATGGACTTATTACATCATTCTTTTTTGATTCCGTTTTGTCTGAATGCCAAGCTCCAGTTGTGTGGCTGGTGTGCTTGACTGGATGTGTGTTGTAAGCGTTGTAAAAATAAACGCGTAGTAGACTGTATATACTGTATTTCACTTGTTACAATGATTTATAAAAGGTGATGTGCACGCGTGGACATTTCTTGAGCGAGTGTCGGCCCGCGCCGAGCAGCTCTCGCCCGGCCGTTGTTGAAGGTCGCGGAACCGGTTTGGTGCGGGGGCCGCACAGCCCGATGAGACGCAGGAACATATTCCCCCGAGTTGAAGGCTGGAGGACTTCAAGACACTGGAAGAGGGCAGATATTATTAAAGGCACGGGTTATAATGCCCTTCTTCGTGCGTATTTCCGCAACTCTACAATGCCCGTCAGACCCGGGCTTGACGGTAACGACTCTCCCGAGCATCCATAGAAGAGGAGGTAGGTAAGCGTCTTTCACCAAGACCATGTCTCCTGCCTTAAGGTCTTGTCCAGAGGTCTGCCATTTAGTCCTTTGCTGGAGAAGGGAGACGTACTCCTTTGAGAAGCGCTGCCAAAAATGCTGCCTCAACTTCTCGATACGGTCGAAGCGTGACAGTCGCGGTATGTTAACGTCACTGATGTTTGATCGAGGAACTGACGTAAGAGCTCGTCCGAGGAGGAAGTGTGAAGGAGTAAGGCAACTTAGATCAGAAGGATCAGTGGATAGAGGTGTCAAAGGTCTAGAATTAAGAATAGCCTCCACCTGAGCCAGACACGTTGAAAGTTCTTCATATGTCAAGTGAGTTAAGCTCATTACTCTACGTAGAAGATGTTTCATTGACTTTACAGCCGCTTCCCAAATGCCACCAAAATGTGGGCTATATGCAGGTATAAATTTGAATTCAATGCCTTGATTTGCAATTTCAGACTCTATGACTTCAGAGGAAACCTGTAAAAAGCGTGAAAGCTCATTAAAAGCTCCCACAAAAGTAGTACCGTTGTCGGAATACACGCGCTGAGGCTTGCCCCGACGACTAATGAAACGGTTAAAGGCCGCAAGAAAAGACTCCTTTGTGAGGTCGGAGACCAACTCCAGATGCACGGCTCTGACTGCAAAGCATATAAAAACACAAATATATGACTTAATTAGTCTGCAACCCCTACCCTTTCGGTCGGCTATCAGCACTGGTCCGGCGTAATCAAGTCCTGTGTTTAGAAAAGGAAACTCAAGATGTGTTCTGTCACTAGGAAGGTTGCCCATTATGACCTGAACAGGTTGAGCTCTAAATCGAGCACAACGAACACAGTTACGCACTGTTTGTTTAGCTAGGTTTTTGCCTCCTAGAGGCCAGTAAGTGAGCCTAATGTGTGCCAATAGCAGCTGAGGCCCGGCATGTAACATGTTTTGATGTTCTGTAGCGAAAATAATTTTAGTTATGTGATGTTTGCTACATAATATGATTGGGTGCTTAACATCGTAGCTATAATATGAATTTTTAAGTCGTCCCCCTACGCGTATTAAATTTGGTGAATCTATAAAGGGAGAAAGACTAATCAATCGATTCTTTTTATGTAAGGGCTGATTGTTTTTAAGGATCATATATTCCTCAGGGAACATTTCCTGCTGAGATATTTGTAAGACAAGTTTTTAGATGTTTGTAATTCCCTGAATGTTAGATAAGATAGTTTAGAGACATTACGTTTTCGACAATTAGCTATAAATCTTTGTATATAAGCTGTAATTCTGATTAATTTTGTAAATGAAGATGATTTTAGTATTAATTTTATGATTGGGTTGTTGTTATGTTATTGTCTATGGCTGTATGAAGTAATGTTTCGGGTAATGGATCGTGTAGTGTGTTAGGTGTCTTTGGAAATTCGATATCATACCGATTAAGAAAATCGGGTCCTGACCACCAAAGCGTAGACGTGCTGATGCAATCAGCCTTCACCCCTCGAGATGCGAGGTCGGCGGGATTACATTTCGAAGGCACATAGCTCCACGTCTGGCCGATTGTAGCCTCTTGAATCTCCGTTACTCTATGGCGGACAAATTGCTGCTGCCTATTTGGCGATGATGCAAGCCAACCGAGCACGATGGTCGAGTCACACCAAAAGTAACATTGACGGAAATTTAAAGTAAGTGCTCTGCGTACCTTTAAGTAGAGTCGAACGCCCAGTAAAGCTCCACATAACTCTAAACGAGGTATGGTTGTGGGCTTCACTGGTGCAATCTTATTTTTGGAAGTTAAGAGGCGAACGCAAACTGTCCCGTCGATTGTTACCGTTCTGACATAAACACACGCTCCGTAAGCGTATTCAGATGCATCTGTAAAGGTATGTAGTTCAATAATATGATGATTACTACAAGAAACAAAACGAGGAATGCGAAGAAGGTTGAGAGTTGGCAGTAAATGTATATATTCAAGAAATTGTTGTTTTATATCTATGGGTATTTCTTCATCCCAGTCATATTTTAACTGCCACAATTTTTGTAATAGACGTTTCGCCTGAACTATACAGGGTCCAACGAGGCCGAGAGGATCAAACACCTGACTAACTAAAGATAAAATAACGCGTTTTGTAATAGTTTTGTTTGGTAATATTAAATTTACTGAGAAATATAAATAGTCTAATTTACAGTCCCAATACAACCCAAGAGTCTTACTAGAAGATTTGTCATTTAAGTTCAATTTTTTATCCTCATATTTTTCAGTAATATTAGTTATTGATTCTAATATTTTATGATCATTAGAATGCCATTTTCTAAGATGAAAATGTGCTGATTTGAGCGTACTAATTACCCCTTGGCATACATCTATGACAGATTCCACGGTATCCCCTCCACTCAAGTAGTCGTCTACATAGAAATCTTTTTTGATGGACTGGCTAACGATAGGGTCTGAACAATGATCTGAAAGAGACACTAAGCACTTTGTTGCCAAATAAGGCGCCGAAGAAGTGCCGTAAGTGACTGTATTCAGTTGATATGTTTTTAATGGTTCAGAAGAATCAAACCTAAAAACAATTTGTTGTAACGAGCGCTGGGACGGTGTAACTAAAATGGCACGATACATTTTCTCAATGTCGCCCGTTACGACAAACTTGTGTTGCCTGAACCTTAACAAAATGGACATAAGATCCTCCTGCACCGTTGGCCCTATCATCTGAATGTCATTGAAGGACTTACCTGAGGTGGTGCTAGCCGAGGCATCGTATACCACGCGAAGTTTCGTAGTCGAGCTAGACTCGCGCACTATGCCATGATGTGGCATAAAATAACTCTTGTTAGATGTGTTAGATTGAAAATTTTCTGTCATGTGATTAAGATTTAAGTATTCACGCATAAATTTTAAGTATCTCTCTTTGAAAATGGAGTCACGCTCAAATTTACGCTCAAGGGAAAGAAACCTACACTTGGCTATCGCGTAAGAGTCACCTAAACACTCAGGCGAGTCCTTCAATGGTATGGTGACAACGAATTGGCCGCAATCATTACGATATGTAGTTTCATTAAAAAGTTTTTCACAAGCTTTTTCTTCTAAAGAAAAACAGTTGTTGCTTGATATTGTATCAAGCTCCCAGAAGCGGGACAACTGGTTGGACTCCTCCTGTGAAAGGAAGTGACACAGAGGAGGTTGTTGAGGACGAGACTGATATACACAGCCTGAAATAAGCCATCCTAATTTCGAAGATTGTAATTTAGGTTGATGTTTACCCAAACTTATACTGTTAGAACCTAAGACGTCCCAAAATACGTCAGCTCCTACAAGAATATCTATGGCTGACGGCACGTTGAATGTAGGATCAGCTAGCTGAAGACCTGGTGGGATAGTCACTTGTGTTTTATCCATATAAATACCAGGCAGCCATTGTGTGATCTTTGGTAAAACAAGACAGTTAACGTTCACCTGATAAGTGCCATAACAAGACTGTACCGTAAGACTACAACTTTCGGAGGTATGAGAAACTTGACCACTTATACCTGTGACAGTGGAGCTAGTGCTTCGTGTTACCAAGCCAAGTTTCTTGCAGAGGCTTTGGGTGATGAAACTGGTGGTACTGCCGTTATCTAGCAAGAGCCTGGCTGTGTGAAGCTCACCATTGACGTCTGCCACTTTCACCAACGCTGTTGATAATAGCACAGTAACCCCATTAGCTTGTTGAGAAGATTGTACAGTTTTAGTTGACAAGGCAACGTTCTCTTTTGTCTGAGTTAATGTATCCCTATGTAAGAGGGTATTATGTCTTACTTTGCAGTATTTGCAGTGCGATAACTGACAACGCTTGTCTGTATGACCAGGACGAAGGCAGTTCATACATACGTTACTTTCTGAAGCCTTCTTATTACGTGAATCTATATCTAGGTTTCTAAAATGTTGACAATTAAATAAATAATGATTTTGTGAACACATAGGACATGTATATTTTTCAGAAGGGTTGATTGGTTTGGACTTTGTGTATGCAAGACTATTTTTATGTTTGTTATGCTCATTTAGTTGTTTATTAGTGGTAGGATAAGTAGATGTTAAGTATTTATTTTCATAAATAGTCTCTAATAGGTCAGCTCTGTTTAATAAAAAAATTATGAAATTATGTAAATTAGGAAATGTAAGTAAATTGTTTTTATATTCCTCCCACTCTCGGTTGGTCACAACATCTAACTTTTTGGACATCATGTAGATGATTAATGTGTCCCAGTGTTCAGTAGGCTGCCCGAGAGTTGCAAGTGCTCTTAAATTTTTATTTGTTACATCAATCATGTTTCTTAGTGACCTGCAAGACTCCTTATCAATTTTATCAAAATTAAACAATGATTGTAAATGATTATTGATGAGTAAGCGTTCATTATTAAAACGATCAAGTAATAATTGCCAAGCTATTTTATAATTGTCGGCTTTAAAGTCAACGCTTTTTACCACTAAAGATGCGCTGCCTGTTAAGGCCGCGCGGAGATAGTGAAATTTGTTTATGTCCTGTATACTATTATTCGTGTGTATTAAAGAAATATACGTATCTCGGAATTCGAGCCAGTGCTGATAGTCCCCGTTGAAGTGAGGCAAGTCTATCTTAGGCAGACGGACATAGTCGTGCTTGCAGCCAGATCCGTGGTGCGGGAAGTCATCAGCTGACGTGGTGGAGGAGGGCGCAGGCGAGGAGGGACGCGCGAGGGCGAGCAGTGCCTTCGCGTGGCCCACCTGCGCATAATACTGCATCTCGAACTGTTCTCTTTCGGCGTACGTGTCGTCTGGGTTTTCCGACAACAGCTCCACTTCTGTCTGCAAGACGTCGAAGTCCTTATAAAGCGCTTCCATGAGGTTAAGACGGCATTGCAACTCAGAAGATTGAAAAGAATCTAAGCCAGTTTTCGGTAAAAGCCGAATAAAGTTACTAAAACTAGTAAGCTTAGCTTTAAAGCTGCCACGCCTCTTTACAAGTTCTCTCAATTTTGCTTCAGACATAATTAAATATATTTATCAAAAAAATAGTCTAAAATGCAAATAAGACGAAAGAAACAAGAAATAATATAACAAAGGCAACGTATAAAATGCATAGATAACTGACGAAGCGGTAAACAACAGCCGATGATTCTACCGGCGCACAAAACCGGTTTACTCGCTAGAAAAATGCACCCGCTAATAAATGAAAATGTTGAATGCAATAAGCAAAAGAATATATATTACTAAAAATTCAAAGGTAAACGATGTTGATGAATGGGATATTTGGATGAAGACTACGATACAAAGAGATCAATATGCCTGATCCAGGTAGTACTACTCAAAAATTCCCGTTAAGAAAATAAGAATATGATAAGGATTAAAGGATATGGAACGGACTCACTCTCAATAAAGTTCCTTAACGTTGACTGTGCCCCTGTTGTAGTGCCCTCTGGGTGACCTCTGAGGCTGGCGCGCACGATGCAAGCGTGCGTGAGCGGTCGGGTAGTCCTGAGTCCACGTGTTATGTGCGCAGCTAAAACACGCCGATCTTCCGACAATGCAGGATCGCTGTGTGACTTAAAAAAAAATTGTTAAGACTGGATGACTTCCTTAGGACGGAGTCTATGAAGCTTGTTTCGATTTTGTAAGGGCAGCTGGCTTCTCTGAGATACTCAAAAGACCTTTGGACGACTTCCCAATGACGGAAGGGTCCCGGCTGAGTTTCTGAAGACGGCTGCTAAGTATCTTCTGTTGCGGAAGAACCGCTGGTAACTTTCTTGACAATCGAAGGACCAATGTCTGAATGCCAAGCTCCAGTTGTGTGGCTGGTGTGCTTGACTGGATGTGTGTTGTAAGCGTTGTAAAAATAAACGCATAGTAGACTGTATATACTGTATTTCACTAGTTACAATGATTTATAAAAGGTGATGTGCACGCGTGGACATTTCTTGAGCGAGTGTCGGCCCGCGCCGAGCAGCTCTCGCCCGGCCGTTGTTGAAGGTCGCGGAACCGGTTTGGTGCGGGGGCCGCACAGCCCGATGAGACGCAGGAACAGTTTCATCTAAAAATAAAGTTTTAAATATTATGAAAAATATATATAAATCATTGTAATAGAAGAATGGTTTTGAACAACACAATACATTCTTTTAAATTATTATTTTGTGTCAAGGTAGTTTAAAAGTAAATGAAAATACGATATACTTTATTATAAAGGTCATGCGTCACATATTGGTCAGCTATTTTGTTGTGTTTCCAACGCGGTTTCCGTGGTGTAGCGGTTATCACATCTGCCTAACACGCAGAAGGCCCCCGGTTCGATCCCGGGCGGAAACATATCTTTTTGACATTTTTTAAAGAACATTATTTAGTTTTTTCCTAAGTGATTAAATTTTAAAGTGTATTTCTAAAATGATTGCATTTAAATTAAATAAATTAAATTAAAAAATACTTATTGTTTTGAAGTATATCAAAATACATCAATGTTTAAATTATATAAATAATTAGAACAAATGGTTTTTATATATTGAATAATGTAAATGATACAGATTTATGCCCGTAATTATGTACTAATTGACTAATTAGTACCTACAGATTGCAAATAATTGGTTCGGATCTGACTCCTGCGACACAAGATATTGCTTATTCAATTATTTTGTTAACAATTTTGCAGTAGCCCGCCATTCTGAAATTTCGGGATCGGACTAGAGGGACATTGTTAATAATAACAATATCTACGAAATACCCGATTTTCATTAAATGCCAACGTCTTTAAGATACTTTTTCACTCACTTTTCCGATTTTCCATTAAATTCCAACGTCTTTAAGATACTTTTCACTCACTTTTCCGTTTTCCAATTCCAGGTTTCCAAAAATAAACAATAAACAACTATTTTTGATTTTTTTAAATCATTAATCCACATGTAAAATTGTCCCCTGAACAACTTTTACTGGAAACACTTTTCTGTCAAACAACCAATACCACCAAAAAAAAAACAAATACCAAAAAAAAGGCGATTTTCGAACTTTTTTGCAATATAAAAGTATGACGAATATTTCAGTTTTTCTAGGCTTCAGGATGTATACGTGTTTTTTTCTTAATTTTAACCCAAATTTCGGCTTGATGGCATCGACCACCACTCTCGTTTCCCTTCTAAAGGTTGCCTATAAGAGATTGCAGACTGTGATATGACCACCCATTGTATCACTGTTTTCTTTTGTTTGTATTAATGTTTCCTAATCATAGTCTGCAATAAAGCATAGTACCTGTACATAGATAGATTAGATACATAGGCACACATAGCCTATCTATTTATAGGAATTAATATGATCACATACTAGGTAAAACATTTTTTTTTATTGCCTGGCGTTTGACCAGGTTCTTCTTTGTACCACAAAAATATTTAAAATACTCAAAGCTAAAAAATTTACCATAGTGCCCTGCCCTAGAGTGAATAAGTATTAAAAACGGATACAAGAAACTGGACAGGTTCAGTATATATTCTGGCCTGCCAAGCTACAAAAGTCAATATAATGACACTTCAAGTTCTACTGAGTTGACGGCCAGTTGGTGTAGTGGTTTGTGTGAGATGGATGTGTGGTGTGACTCAGATGGACAAGGTTAGGAATGAGTCTATACGAGGGAGTCTGAAAGTAGCGCCACTGGATGAAAAGTTAAGAAGTAATAGGTTATCTTTGTATGGACATGTCATGCGGAGGGATGAGGAAAATGTGGCGAAGAAAGTTTTAGGTATGGGAGTTAAGGGGAATAAGAGAAGAGGCAGACCGAAGAAAAGGTGGATGGACTGCGTGAGGGAGGATATCCTTCCTCACGCAGTCCATCCACCATATGGCTAGGAAGGGAGTAAACAGTGAGATGACGCATGACAGAGTAAAATGGAAAAATCATACATACTGCGCCGACCCCAAATAAAATTGGGAAAAGGGTAGGCAGATGATATGATATATCAGTTATCTAATACCCATAGTACAAGCTCTACTTAGTTGTGTTGAGACACAGGTTCAACCTAGTTCGGGCAAACAAACAACAAATGTATTTAATTTATAAATTAAAGAACCATGTGTCATAAATTATTGTACTCTTTATCTAAATAAATATTATATTATTATTAGTTTGGGAGTAGATGGCTGTATGTGAATGCGGTAGAATATTATTATCATTAATGAAAGAAAACAAGACATCCACACAATCAAAATTTGACCACCAGGCAATCTCCGGCAATATATAATTAAATAATATGTTATTTTCCAGATACTCCACAAACACTAAGCCCGAGTCGCGTGTCGATCGTGGAGACGGGGGTGGAGCCGCTGGACGTGGACCCTCCCTCCGCAGCAGCTACCGACTCTGATGTTATTATGAATGATGGCATGAGCGAAGTGAGTGACACACCTACACTCATGCCTTTATTAGAGGTTCCACTGGTTAACATTCCATTTTATCCCTTTAGATTATAAATACCCAGCTTAATAACTATATAGAAACATCCAGAACAATGCAAGTTCATACCGACAAATATTGGTTATCGAACCACAGAGTATAACTATTAATGCGGTGCCTTGGTTTCAGAACGGATCAATGCAGGTGGAGCCCAGTCACAGTCCACTCAGCACCGATATGATCATCGAACCTTTAGATACTGTTGAGCCCTCTGAAGTTGTGGATGAGTAAGTTTTTGTACCACCAAATAATATATGTTAAACATTTGCTGCTTTATCGACATCTTCTGAGTCTTTTTTCCAAACGTAAGTTGGCTGATTAGTATTAGGAGATATCGAAGTTCTGTAGCCATATTGCTGTTGGACTTTTTAGGACTCCCGACTACCCGTAACGATTGCCACAGATGTACGTATGGCAACCGGGACCTCTGAGGCATGGAGAGGGGTCTCAATATGTTAAGAATAGTCATCCAGCCATAGACTAACCTGGCTAGGATTCTTTAACTGACCTAAAAAAGGAGAAAGTTCTCATATTCTTTGTTTGGCAGGGTGGTGGAGGGCGAGGAGTGCGCGGGGCAGGCGCTGACGGCGGACGACCTGGTGCTGCTGTGTGACCTGTTCTACCTGCCCTTCGAGCATGGCTCGCGCGGCCTGCGCCTGCTGCACGACTACCACTGGCTCACCGCGCACGCCGCCAGCATGCTGCCGCGCGGAGCCAAGACCGAGGTACTACTCGCGATACTAAATCATACATTGTCATATTAAAACCTTAAACTGTTTAAAGTTAACTACAGTACAATTGTGGTAGAGTTGAAACGCATAACGTGTTACATATACTATCAGATACCGTGGCGACGCATGGCGTGGCGACACATCATCACGTCGTCGACCGTATCTTATGTCGGATCCTAGGTATTGCCAATGCGTGATATTATTTAAGGTTGAAATATAAAAAATAAAATAAGTTCCCCAAACTTAACAAAATCATCATAATTGATTACTTACTAGCTATAATAGAAGCTCCTTTAAAGTCCTTCCATAATTACCATCATCAGTCTCCTCTCATGTATGTGTAAATTTGATTCGTGAAGAACGAAATATGCTACTAAAACCGACATACATGCGGGCGGACCCCCGGGCAAAAGCAAACGATAAAAAAGAAACGGTGGGCTGTGTGTCAGCCTACCCCGGAGAGAGTATGTGGTATGTGTGTATGTATCGTTCGCGTTTTGTACCAGACGAGCGAATGGCGTCGCCGGCGCAGTCGGTTCGCGTGGTGGATGTGCCGCACGCGGCGGCTGGCGCGGCGCCTGGCGCTGGCGCACAACCGCGAGCTGCACGCCGAGCTGCAGCCCTACGTCTGGGACCTGTGCGCCGTGCTGGCGCTGCTGGACGGCTTCCTCCGGTGGCTCGGTACGGACGCGCTCTGCATTCAAACCTCGGATAAACGAAACGATATTTTTTTAATTCTAATATGTCTATTTGTTACAGAGCTCGGCAAGTTCCCGCCCAACATAGCAGCGAACACACAAGGAAGTTATACGTGTGAGTTATATTATTAATGATTACTAGCCTTTTCCTGCAGGTTCCCCTGCCTGTGGTGCTCGCTGCTCCCCTTCCGATGGCCAAACCGTGGTGTTACATCCTCTGCGATTGATGTAGATTAAATATATTCAATATAAAGGAGAATGACCATTAGCGGTACCGGTTTTTCTCACGGGCAAAAATAAAAATAATATTTAAAAAAAAAACTTTAATTTTTAAATCACTCCCATCAGAATGATACATTTTCATGGGAGTTTTCTTTTTCAAACTAATAAGATATGAAATTGCTTTTATATTATTGTATTTGCCTGACAAAACTGCAAATTATTGCCTTATCCAAAAGAGAAAAAATATGTTGGAGTATGAAGGAGTTAATTCTTTTTTTTCAATCGATTTCAAATCGATGTATCGATAGATTTATAAAGTAGCTAGTTGCTTACCTTAGATTCCTTCATCGTCAAGACACTTGTTGCTCCGCACAACCAATCTGTCGAACAAGTTATCGTTTGCGATATTTCCGAACCGATACGATCTTCAAACCTTTAAGAAAAAGAGCGTAACCGACCTTCTTCCTAACAGACTTGCAACACGTTTAGAAGATGGGCGCGCGTTCATGGGCGGCGATAGTCACTTTCCATCAGGACCCGTCTGCTTGTTTGCCCCCTCTTCCTTAAAAAATACATGACTTAATGGGACCTAATTATTGCACGCAATAGTTGTACCATCTGGTTATCTATACTTTTTAAAGTGATTTGTTTTTGTTGTATTTAATAATGATTTCATAGATTACTTTCTACATTACTTTAATTCGGTTTAATTAGAATCCAAAACTTGCTAATGAAAAATTAAGAAATTAAATAAAAATTAAAGTGAAGTTTTATTATTTGATAAAAATCAGAGGTGGCAACATTGGCTACTCTTTCGTATATCGATTAACGCTGAAAAAATCAAAGTATGAAACGGCGCGTATGTTTGAACTTGCACATGGCTAACATCGGCTTTTAATTACTTTACATTCAAATATTTCGTGTTGATCGAGTCCTTCTCTCCACCGGAATTGTAATATTCATTGTAGTGATGCGCAAAATGTATCACTGAGCTGAAAAGATTGATATATATCATTTCGCTCGAAAGATATATATCACTCATCTAGCTCACTAGCTCATTTAGCTCACTAACTCGTTTAGCTCACTAGCTCATTTAGCTCACTAGCTCATTTAGCTCACTAGCTCTTTGATCCGATTCAATTGATTGGTCTCTCAATTAATTCATTTATTCATCTAGATCGTTTAGCTCAGTATACTCGTATATCACTTACTTTAAGCCTCTCTCGCCATACAAACTGTGGAGGAACGGGTGTCATGTCCCTCCAACACAAAGGGAGGATCCTCCGACCAGGCGAGGTGATCATGCCTGGCGGGCCACGGCCCAACGGTTAATGTTGGGAAGTTGTATATATGCTAATCGGCGAGGGAATTCTTTATATCGCGATACAGGATTAGCAATTCTTATTTTAGTAGTTACTCCGTAGTTCGGTGTGTCTTCATTAGATGGCGCTGTAGTATGTTTCTGTTTCTTTGTATGTGGGAGTCGCCACACAAACCTTTCTTTATTTTCATATTATCCTAAATTCAGTTTTTGAAACTACATTTTTAACCTATTTTTTTTAAATACAATTTTATTCATTTTGATAACATTACATAATTATTAACATCCTTTTACATAATAATTAAATCAAGAAATTATTTCTTGTACTTTTTTTTAGGTTGTATAATAGAAATCATACAAAATTTGATTTTCCTTGTACTTGGCTTAATTCTTAAGTAATATTAAACTTTGATCCTATATAAATAATGTACATTTTGCATAAAGAAACTTGCGTGAACTCAACCATCATCTATCTCACTCATTTATCTGTAGTCTCACTCGCTCATGAAACAAAGATCGGCGTCGTTGAGCTAGTGATCTAGTGAGCTAGTACTGAGTTACTGATATATTCAGAGCTAGTGTGAGTGAGTGATACATTTTATCGTCGTGAATGATAAGTATCTTTTATATCACTCATTCAGGAGCTACACAACTCTAATTCATTGTAATAATTAATTTATGATGCTCTGTTCAATAACCAACACGAACTATGTAAAACGCCAGGACGTTTGCTTTGTATATATTTACAAGTAACGACGATTCTTACAATAAAGGGTAGTTGTATGTGATTCGTTCTTTATTGTAAAAATAATTGACCGGAAATGTCGACAATTTCACGTGAGTAACCTTCAAGAACATACTTTTGCGATCACAAGAAATCGACGTAGATACTCCTTAGAACTGGCGACTAATTCAGTGATTATTGCAGTCATAGATAGCTCCTACACAGGTAACCATATCTCATGACCTTCTGAAGAAGGGCCTGTTTCTTGATTTCTCAGAAAATTTAATGCTTTCGATAGTATCCAGTGTTTGTTTTTTACACCTGTTTCTTTTTCTTTGTTTTTTAACTATTTTAACGGATAACATTAAGTACGGATACAGTAAGGTGATGATTTTTTTCAGTCTTTAGGATCGGTAATGATTACCTAACTAATACAAAAAATGGGAGTTTTCTAAAAAAACTCCCATGTTTTGTATAAAATGGAAACGGTAAATGTTATTCGGCTATCTTATAAACCTTCTTAAACAACTTTGGCGCCTTCTTGCACAGACGCAATACGGTACCGTAGTCCATACATTCACGGTCATTCTCCTTTTTTTCAATGCAACTTCTGTTAATAGTATATAATTATCGCGCAATAACAAAAAATATATGCCATTTTTGGCAAATTTATAAGTTTTTAAAATCTGGAGTCTTGAAATTTGTTTGCTCTAAACCCATTTCAAGTACTTTGTGAAGTGTATGGTGAAAATTCTATGAGTGAACGAAGGACCCAGGAGTGTTGGCTCGATTCTATTAAGAACGTCACGGTCACGTAAGACCGACTATTGACAATAATGTCGCACGGGTGCAGGGTTCTCGAAAGGGTGGCGCGAGGCGTTCGAGAGCGGAGCCCAGGAGCCGTGGGTGTTCCGCGGCGGGCTGACGGCGGACCTGCGGCGCCTCCTGCCCGTGGAGTGCACCAGCGATGCGCTGCGCCCGCTCGCGCCGCTGCCGCACCCGCCGCTCACCGTGCGGCCCTACACCGCCGGGGACGAGCTCCAGGTACTGTCTCCTCACTGTCGCGCCCTACACCCGCCGCTCACCGTGCGGCCCTACACCGCCGGGGACGAGCTCCAGGTACTGTCTCCTCACTGTCGCGCCCTACACCCGCCGCTCACCGTGCGGCCCTACACCGCCGGGGACGAGCTCCAGGTACTGTCTCCTCACTGTCGCGCCCTACACCCGCCGCTCACCGTGCGGCCCTACACCGCCGGGGACGAGCTCCAGGTACTGTCTCCTCACTGTCGCGCCCTACATATATAGCGTCATGTCTCAATATTGTTATAACAGCATAAATGGCGTAGTGGTCTAAGCGGTCACCTTGTTTTTTTGTGTTCTTTTCATAAATGTTTGTAAAGTCCCCCGCTACCCTTTTTTTTTATCGGTGGCATGTCGGACTCGAACCGACTAAAACTGCACGCCGTCTCGGGTACTAATAGCCGGGGAACCAAGTATACCCTAGAAAGGAAGTCCCTGGTGCGTTGCTGGGGAGTTGTCTTTTTTTTTAATTTTTGTTAATTTTCTTTTAGGTACCTTCATTTAGCTGTTGGGAATGACCACTCATTTCGTACAGTAACTACCTAATTATTAAAAAAAAATATTTATGAATAAAAAAAATAAATATATAAAAAAATATTATGTGTGTTTTAAAAGATTTTTTTTTTTCAATATTAACACGTCTAAACTATTTATGTCACACTGTCCCAACTAAGTGTAAATTATATGTTACTTCCAGAACTATATTCAAGTAATTGATCTCTAATATACTTATAATATTACAGGTGTGTGCTATATGTCACAAAACATGTCGTGACGGCTCCGACTGCAGTGATCTATTCCCTAGCGACTTACAAACCCTACCAGCTGATCGGTAAGTACCTTTGAGTTCTCTTAAGTCAAGATGTTAAAAGCCTGTAAAGAGGACCCAGGGACCTTTTGTGCTTCTGGAAGGAGCTAATCTGGTCAAATAAAGCACCGTTTGAGTTTAAATGCGGAAATTAAAGCCCCCACAAATACCAATACTAATTTGATTATCAGCACTTTAATTATTTATTTAAACGATGTTACAACAAGTGGTATTGTGACAGAATTATAACATTATACTACTAATATTAATATTTTTATATATTCTTAAAAATATATTGGCCTATAAAACGTTACAGGCAGATAGATACATTTAAAATGTTACTACACATTTTCAATAACATAGATAGAACATTTTGGAAAATTCTCATATTTAAGATGAAACTGCACATAAACACAGTCACGGTAAATCGACGTCAATCAATAGTCCGTGTGGTGACGGAATAAAAATACGGGATGTCACCACCCCTATTCATCCCGTGGGTGTCCTAAGAGCCGACTGAGGGAGCAAACTACGCAGAACAACAGCACTGCAGAGAGAAGGAAAACTTGACACAAACCCTATACCAACCCGTCTGGCCAGCGTGGTATAGTAGGCCAAAACCTTCTTTTAAGGAGAGGCTTATGTCCAGCAGTGGACTATTAAAGGCTGTTGATGTGATGTGATGTGAATTTTTATAAAAACTCATCTCAAATTTTGTTTCACAGGCTAGTAGCACCATTCCTCACTCTAACACCGGAGTTCTGTATGGTGATAGAAGATGACGAGGAGGTTATTCCATACGAGTTAGGCTCCGCCGACCTGGAGGACGGTCCTGAGAAGCCAGCAAGGGAACCTAGAATTAATGGTGAGGTTCAGTCGCACTGGATTTTATTAAATTTGATAAACGTCAAGCAACTTTAGAAGAAGTACTGTTCTTTAACTGATTGTATAGTTAACTAGCCTATCGTCGCGGTAAAGAGTAATCTATGTCCTTCCTCAAGAATTAAAGTATCTCTATACCAAATTTCACTCAAATCTGTTAAGCGGTTTAGCCGTGAAAGCGTAACAGACTTATTTTCGCATTTATAATAATAGTGGGCATTATTTGTCAGGCATGAAACCGGAGATAGTAGGGTATGCGTGTGCAGCCCTGAACAGCAAGGACTTCTATAAGCGGCAGGAGGTGGCGTGGATACCGGAAATGTGCACGAAATACCCGGAGGAACTTACCGAGAGGGAAGACCTCAGTCAGGCTGCTAAGGTAAATAATTCAATTTCGTTTGTAATGTTGAGTGTAATCCGATAAAATTAGTGTTTTAAAGGTCGGTTGTTGCTTGTTCAATTCTTTTCTCGAATTCACATTGTCAGGTTATAGATATTTTAATTGTTGTCTATAAGTATTAGTAATTGAGTTTTCATAAAGTTTTGTAGGGAGTTGAGGGAACAGGGAGATAGGTAACCGTGTTTACCTATCTCCCTGTTACCTCAACTCCCTCTCTTATCTATACAAATAAATAAAATTGGAGTGTCTGTTTGTAATATTAAAATAACCGCTTTTTACTAAATGCATATATATATGTTTACACGGTACATATGCCAAAATAACATTTTTTTCAATTTTTGTCTGTCTGTCTGTTTGTTCCGGGTAATCTCTGGAACGGCTGTACCGATTTCGACGGAACTTTCACTGGCAGATAGCTGATGACATAAAGAGTAACCTAGGCTACTTTTTTTAGACTAGCTTCGCCCCGCGGCGTTGCCCGCGGTTATAACAACAAACGCGGGTAACACCGTGGGTCTCAGCTAGTATCTAAATAAAATACTTGGTCAGGAGTACTAATTACCTGTGATTTTAAGTAACTAATAACTAATGCTATAGAAATTGAAAACCTCCTTTCTGAGAAGAGGCCAGAGATGTCCAGCAGTGGACTATTAAAGGATGTTTTTTATGGGTTTGATTTTTGTTAAATTTATTTGGTTACTATTTGACAAAACAGAGATTGTTGCTTTTGTGTGTGTTGATCTATGACTTTAGAGTCTACATGGAAGACGATTTCAAACAATTTTGGAAATTTTATGAAATAAAGAAAGTTTGAGTTTGATGTTGATGTGTCATGATGATGTGATAGAAATGATTATTAACCTAGAATGCTTTTCAAGCAATTATAATTCGCAAGTGTATGAGTGAAAAAACGAGTTCACATGAATGTGAACGTCTAATAATATACTTAAACAGGTATTTGTTTTGCTGTGTGTACATGTAGATACAGTGATTTTTAAAGTATGATAATATAACACCCTCTGCCAAGGGGTGTAGTAGTCTATATGCTATTGTTTTTTACTTTTTTATATTAGATATGATTATTAACAATGGCTGTTAAGTAGGCTCATCGATAATAATGTGAGTCTTAGTAACTTGAACAAATTTATAATAAATACAAATGTATCCTTATTTTAATAAGTTGTGCTCAAATTTTTTAGAAAATTGATCGTGGTATCGATGTAAAAAGTAAAAATAGAATAAAATCACAATCATCTTTAATAAATTATCATCATCATCATTATCAGCCTATCGCAGTCCCCTGCTGGACATAGGCTTCTCCCATATAATAAATTATATGATTTATAAATCATATAATTACATCTGTGGCTAATTTACAAAACCACAGCAACTTATTATTATTATTACTACATCTAAAAAGGTAATCTTTGCTAAAAATAATTTTGATGTCATTTATCTTTGCTTATGACAAAATGATTATCGCAGGTGAAATCGCAGTGATTAAAACCAATAATTTCATCATACGATTTAAAAGTAGCATTAATTGCCATGTTTAGTCAGTACAATTAGAATATCACAGCGGTTACAATTCATCCGTATCGCTTATTTAATTTAAGAGACACTATCAGAAACTGACGTGGGACCCACAATACTGCCTTGGAGTACGCCATAATCGATGGGTTGCTCGTTGTCGTTTCAATGGCAACTTTAGAAATTAGCGTTCTAATCTTTAAATAATACGTAAGCGAGGCAATAGCAGCCTCCCTAATGTGTAACATAACGTGTGCGGTGAGTTCTCAAGTAATGAAAAGCAAACGGATAGTGTCAAACGCTTTCGTTAAGGCCTAGGTAGACTACGAGACCTAGCAACGGTAAATAATTTTTGAAAACCGACCCTAAATGCTAAGCGAATAAAGTGTGGTACGTTTATCAGGAGTGCGTGCGGCACTTCCACCAGTTCGGGTCGTGGGGCCGCGCGCCCGAGAGCGTGACGCGCGCGCACCCCGCGCTGCTGACGTGCTGCGTGCTGGCGCCGTGCCGCGACCCGCTCGCGCCCGCGCGCCTGCTCACCTGCCTGCTCGCCGCGCTGCGCGCCAACGGTCAGTGCTCATCTTTTTTTTCTGTGCGGAAATTCCCTCGGATACCACTTACCGGTGATTATGTCACTTACGTCTGTTCTATCCGAATAATTTCCTCAAAAGGACGGAGTGTTTAACGAGAACCGCACGCTATTTCATTTGCTACTTTGTTGTTACTTAAATTTTATATACAGGGTTACAAGAAAAGTCGTGCTAGATCCGTTAAGGGCGTGGAGTACCCATCATTTCTGACATATTTCACTATGAAACACCCTACCCTAAACTTAACCCTTTTCGAGATAATCATCTTTTAATTTTATTTACATTATTACATTTATTTTTGTTTATTTTGTGTATCTTATTATTATTATTTTTGCATTTTTACATGTGTAATAAGATGCTTTAGGACGTCAATCATTAAAATAGTTCATAAGTTAATTGAATAGATCGTAGTAGACAAGTGAAAGTAAAGAAATAAAAAAAAATATTCGAAAATTATTTTTCTCTAACGGATATCTAAAAACAATATTATGGTAATTGTTCGGCAGATGTTTTTTAAAATATCTTCGTTTCATCAGCTATCTAACGAGGTATAACAATCTAGGGTTTGTATTACATTTCGTGGAAAAAAAGTAGTTGGGACGCTCCAGGCAACAGTTCTAACGGTCCCGCGCCTATTGTCCTTCAAGTTAAGACGCACCAAGCGAGACAAGTGACGATTTATGTAGGTGTGAATGAAAGAAAAAATGTGTAGAGACCGGTTAGGGCTGGGAATACAACAGGGGGCATTGTTTGGTTGTCACTAGTTGTCAGTCTGCTTTTGTGCTTCGTACATAGTAGATGTGATATCGTTTTGCTCTTTTTCTCGACTTGGCTGTGATTCTGGACTATTTCTTCTGATTTGTGACTACTGTGCTTGTTAACCGGACTCTGATTTGTACCTGTGATACGGAAGTGTTGAAGATGACGTCCTACACACCTGAGGAATATGCTGATATGCTTATTTGTTACGGATATTACGATTGTGTGTCTGCGCAAGCTCGCAACGAATACATAACTCGCTACCATGGTCGTCGAGTGCCGGATGTGGCCGTTTTTGACAGAGTTTATCGAAGACTTCGAGAAACTGGCTCTGTTTTGAGACGAAATACAGACATGGGAAGACCACGAATTGACGACGAAGAACAGGACAATGAGATAGTGCAACGCTTTCGAGCGAATCCGACTACTTCCACTAATATTGTTGCCCGTGATCTGGGACTTTAGCAATGGAGAGTGTGGTTTACAGTGCATACTGCTGGCCTATACCCGTACCATTACACGCCGGTACACGTTATTGAAGAAGGAGACCCCGCGAGAAGATTGGACTTTTGCAGATTTATGCTAAATGCTGACGTAGAAGACCCAGATTTTCTAAGAAATATCTTGTGGACGGATGAGTCCAAATTTGATAAAGATGGCATAACTAACTATCACAACGCCCATTACTGGGCCCCAAAAGAACTAAGGAATCCCAATAAGAAAAGAGTGAAGGGGTCCCAACGAAGATTCAGAGTGAATGTGTGGATGGGCATTATCTCCAATCATTTGATTGGACCTTACTTTCTCCCGGATAATCTAAATGGGGAAAGCTACGACAATTTCCTGAGAGCAGACTTGAGTGATTTGCTGGATGATCTGCCACTCAACCTGATCAGGGACATGTGGTTCCAACACGATGGCTGCCCTGCCCATTTCAGGAGAAGTGTCAGGGACTGGCTGGACACAAATTATCCAAACAAATGGATAGGACGAGGTGGGCCGTTGCCATGGCCAGCAAGAAGTCCGGACCTAACCCCCATGGATTTTCATGTGTGGGGGTGCATGAAAAGTCTTGTGTACAGCGAGTCGAATCCAGTTGCGTCTGTGGAAGACTTACGAGAAAGGATTGTGGATGCAGCAAATAAAATGAAGACCACGTTGACCACTGGAGTAGTGACTGGTCTCCGTAGAAGGATGCGACAATGTATCAGAAATAGAGGCGGCCATGTTGAACATGAACTGTAGAATAAGAAAAAGTTGTGTGAAAACCTTTAATAAATGACATTTCATGCTTAACTATTGTTTTATTTTACTTTTTTGGGCTAAGTATAAATTTTCTTCTCCACTGTCGCCTATGAAACTAAAGTTTTTTCAATGCATTTGAATAAAACCTTAAATTATTATACCTCGTTAGATAGCTGATGAAACGTAGATATTTTAAAAAACATCTGCCGAACAATTACCATAATATTGTTTTTAGATATCCGTTAGAGAAAAATAATTTTCTAATATTTTTTTTATTTCTTTACTTTCACTTGTCTACTACGATCTATTCAATTAACTTACGAACTATTTTAATGACTGACGTCCTAAAGCATCTTATTACACATGTAAAAATGCAAAAATAATAATAATAAGATACACAAAATAAACAAAAATAAATGTAGTAGCCTAAAAATCAGCAAATTTCAATAAAAAAATTAAAAGACGATTATCTCGAAAAGGGTTAAGTTTGAGGAGGGTGTTTCATAGTGAAATATGTCAGAAATGATGGGTACTCCACGCCCTTAACGGATCTAGCACGACTTTTCTTGTAACCCTGTATATTCTGAGACTAACGAGCGGACCGATTACCTGATGGTAAATGATTACCGCCGCCCACGAATACCTTTAACACGAGAATCACAATACGCTGGATTCCTTTTAATTCCACCTAGAATCGGGAGAGGGGAAGTTTGCGCTACGGTAACCTCACTCACTTGATACAAAACAACATAACTATTACTCGCCACGGATTTTCTTTGAGGCTATGGTATCTAGCCGATCCATTTGTACCAAATCATAACTCTCTCGGGGTAAAAATGTTATATCTTTGAGCTCCGTATAAAAACGTATCTGTGGTATTAAAGGGGCTAGCGGCGTGCACGCGTGCATCAACTCGACAGACCACTACCTGCACCAGTTCTACAGCAAGCTGGGCTTCGTGGAGGCGGCCCGCGGGGCGGGCGGGCGCGTGTACCTCACGCGTGCCTTCTAGCGCCCCCGGCCCGGCCCCGGCCCCGGCCCAGGCCCCGCGCTCGGCACTCACAGGACGAGCCGACGCAAGTATTGTTGTTATTGCTTTACATACATAAACCAATACTCCTGGTAAATGTATTTATTATCTTAGTAATGTCTCCTCATATTAGCCATAAAGAATTTGACCGAATCTAAACATCAAATATGCATGACAACTTTTTCTCATTCATTTCAGTTTAATGTTCTGAGGAAAGAACAATTCGGTTAGAACAAACATGACCTCCTTAACTTATTTTAATCTTATAAAACTAATTACGGTAATTCACCTGGCACGTCGCTATTCTTAGAGATGTCAAAGGCTTTCGATTTTGTGGAAAACAAAAAGCTTAAAAAAAACTGAATCAATATCTTATTACAGAAAATGCCCTCGAATGGATTAAAAGAAAAGAAATACTCGTAGCTGAAACACGTTGTCGGGGCTGTCAAATTCCCAATAATTGTGAGGGTTTCCCTCGATTTCTCTAGGATCCCATCATCAGATCCGTAATTGGTGGTAATGGGACCAATTCGGGAGCATACCCTTTCGATTACAAAAAGAATTTTGAAAATCGGTTCACAATTGACGGAGAAATCGCGTAACAAACATACATAAAATATATATATATATATAGACGAATTGAGAACCTCCTCTTTTGTGTTTTGGAAGTCGGTTAATAAACAGCGTTGTGTTGAAATTACGAGATTATACGGACAACAACAAACTGTGTCAATTAAATGAAAGTGGCAGAATTGAGGCCTTGCTCGTTTGCCTGCTTGCTTATTTCATGAAAAAAAAATTTTTAATCTATATGTTTTAACATAAATTATTATCCATTACAGGAAACGTAAATCACGCTTCACGAAGAAACAACATGCAGAGCTTGCTTCTACAACGTCAAAGAATGTCACGGCAACAAGCGAAAAACCTTGAACACGGTATCAAACTCCACTCAAATAGATTATAGTAGTTACTCTTAACATCACATAGACGACTATACATTCATTACAACATGTTATACTGAATTGTTTCATGAATTTTTATTATTTTTATGATTTCTGTGCACATGGCATAGCATGTATAAAACGGGACTGAATCGCTGTCATATATATTTATATATAAGGTATACTGGTGGCAATGACAGATATTTTACTGCCCGAATGCGGGATTTTCTTTTTGGTATCATAATTATGTTTATATATATTAAATATAAATTTAGAAAAACATAACAGTAAAACTTAATCAAAAACGATAATCTGGAATCCAATTACGGCGCCATCTACCGGGTCCAATCTGAAACTAAACAATACCGGTTCCCTATCAAACACAAAGAAAAAATTCGTCAAAAACTGAAATGAGAATTTTAGGACCAGGTCCATAACGTACGTGACCTATAGGATCTTAATCTAAACAGATGCACTCAAATATAGATTAATTTCACCAAAATGGATTTAGCCTTAAGAGGAGTTCAGTCTCAAACACGTACCCGACTGATCTTATCATAAGAATTAAAAAAAAAACTTAAAAAAATAAGTGTTGATCAAGAAATTACTAGTGGCAATTGGTAATGGCCGATCTGAGTTTTGAGTTATATTTTTTGCTTGTACTGTACTTTTTGTGTTTGCTAAACTTCAACATTGCTTAATTATCTGCAAAAATACATTATAATGGAATCTGACGAACGTAACAATTCAATATTTCAGAACTAGCCTTTAATAGTCCACTGCTGGACATAGGCCGTAGTAGGATCGGCGTGGCGACCGCTTAAACCACTACACCATCCGTGCAGTCAATTCAAACGATATTACTAGAGAAATTTAAATAAATAGCGCAGAATGGTTTTTAAACAAATTCATTATAAACAACTCACACACGTGTAAACATATAATAATATACTTACCGGAATAACACACACATGTAAACTTCAGTATTTGGTTTGCCTTATGTACATCTTATCTTATATATAAAATTCTCGTGTCACAATGTTCGTTCCCGTACTCCTCCGAAACGGCTTGACCGATTCTCATGAAATTTTTTGTGCACATCAGGTAGGTCTGAGAATCGGCTAACATGTATTTTTCATACCCCGAAATGGTAAGGGTGACCCATCCCTAATTTTTTTTTTGTTTTGCAATACAACGTTTGCCGGGTCAGCTAGTAATTTTATAATATCTATTCTTATTAATCTAAAGGTAAATGTAATGTACTGGTAATGATCGTTAAATGCATTCTGATCCGACGAATAATATATATATACCTCGCACATCTCACACACGAAAGAAAGAAAGTCGAAAACTTGAACAAAATTTTCTATATATATATATATATCTCATCTTAATATAATCTAAATACTTAAATGTAATTAATAAACTGACTTCAAAAATCTACAATGCTCAAGTGAGTTTTTTTTTTACAAAAAAATATATAAATCAACGTATACATGCCACCGCAGCAATAGGTTGCTCTGACAAAAGTAAAGTAATTAAAAAATAATAGTGTTTTATATTTTTTGCTCTTTGATGAGTTATTAGCTTTTTCCTTCCTAGTCATTATAAATGTTTTGTGTCGTCATAAAGTTAAAATACAATATCTTTGGAAAGTAATGTCAAAATTAAACAAATTAGTATAAAATGTCAAATTGATTGGCATTATAGAAATTGTTTACATATACATTAATAAGTGTTTGTTTACTGTAAAAACTAACTAAAGTATATAATTTTAATAGACCTTAAGTTCTTTAATAGTACCAGATAGGGTATATAATAAAAATATTTTCTTTTTGGGCCGTTTATGAATTAAAACACAAAAAATAAAATATTTAATACATACCTTGACTGACATGTACTACTAAAGATATTTTAAAGAACTTTTTAAATTTTGTGTACTATTATAACGTCATAACTCAAAACTACTGCACTTAGCTGGTTTTCACAGTAAACCTCCGTTGTCTAAAATTATAAAATTGGGCTTTTGTTTGTTAATAAAAAAATAAGATGGTTTTGTTATTTTTAATATTAATAGAAACAAAGGGATATTACAAAAATTTGTATTTTAATTAAAAAAATAACTAATACACCTTCACACAAGTATTGATGAAAAAGTTTGTTCTTCTCTACCTTCAAGAAAAGAGCGTACTTCTTCCTAATGGGCGGCGATGGTCACTTTCCATCAGGTGACCCGTCTGCTCATCTGCCCCCTCTAACATTAAAATTAAACATGACCATCTCTACGTAAATAAATATAGAATCTAACTCGAAAGGGTTTTCTACCAAGTAGAGATGTTATCAATTTTACAATCATTTCATTTTAATATTAAGTAAACTGGTAGCTACACAATGTTAAATATTAATCATGAAAATTACTGTAATCCTTCTCAACTACAATTACAAATAGATTATATAAGGCAATATGATTACAAGCATAAGTTTATATTTAGTCTTAAGATGTGAATGTTTTGTGTTAAGACGAATAACTCAATGTCATCATCCTTCGAGATCAGCTCAATCAGCAAAATATTTTGACTGGTTTTTTATACATCCGACTTCCAACCCGAGGCCAACTCTCCTTAGGGAGAAGCTAAATTGGAACAAGAGAAGTAGTTGGGTACCTACCTAACCATTTCTTTTGTTCCAATTTAGCTTTTGCTAGCTACCTGCTTATGGTAAGAGATACTGCATATCTCGGATGGGATACAAGGCTGGGAATGGAATAACTCGGAAAGGGCCGGGGACGCGCGTTCCCGTATGAGATTTGACAAGCTGCTAGGACAGGTAAACATCTTTCTATATTACATAATTTTTGAAGTTAAACTGACACTGTAATTTAAAGATTTTTGCTTTTTTAAGGTGACAATGTCAATGACAAACTCAAGATACAGAAGTCACATACCTATATAGACTATTATATACAAAATTTGAGTTGCAGGCGTTCGTGGGCGGAGGTTGTCGCTTTCCATCAGGTGAACCGTCTGCTCAATTGCCCCTATGTTATAATAAAAAATTGTTTTAAACATGTACAGTTCAGTTTTGAAATTATTATCTAAACACTAAAATATTTGTACTTTTATTTTATAACCACGTTCCTATGTTGTAATAAATATATTATGTAATTTTAATTTATGATTTAAGACTAAGATACTTTGATTCTAAAGCATCAAAATTAAAGGGAATTTTATCCAATGTTATGGTCACTGCTCGGATGATTTTAATGGTCTTTCTCAAGAACTGCATCAAAAGGAATTTTCTAATTCGACTGGTATTTCCAGACATGAGCTAGGTCAACAAAAAAATAAATAAATTTGAACCGACTCCAAAAAAGGTTCACAGTTCGGTTTTATTTTTATGTATGTTAAGTCGAAAACTGCGTCATATTAGAACCGATGTGGAATATTCTTTGGGAGAAAGTGTACTTTTGATTTGATCTCTTACAAATGTAAAGCAAAATACAACTTCTAGGGATGGAAAATTAAGGAATAGAGTTTATAGTTTATTAAAGTCAGTGATAATTTCTTGACAGTAATTATATTTTACGAATAAATAACAGAAGTTATTTTTCACACAGGCATCCTATACAGGGTGTAAGGGACATAGTAACGAATACTGAGATAGTGTATTCAGACCATAATTCTGAGTCGAAAATCATTGGAATTTTCTGCCAAAAAATTCATCAATTTTTTATAATATTCAATTTTTTGGTTAAAAATGATGAAAAGTGATATCACAATGATTAAACAGAACATTTTACCGAAAACAATTTAATAATTACCGCATACTGTCACTGCAATGAAATAATTAAACTGCCGAAGCGCGCGGGGCCTCCCCTCCGGCCGCCAACTTATGTTAATGTGCGTAGACTGTTTGCACGGAATACACATGTTGTTATTACTTTTGTGCGAAACATACGGGGAATGACCTTAATCTTGGCAGCTGATTGCATAAAAACTAATTTTCCGGCAGAAAATGATTTTCCACTCAGAATGATAGTCCGAATACACAATTTCAATATTCGTCACGACGTCCCTTACACCCTTTATAGTTTTTACATTTAAGATTGTATTGCACAATGTTGCATTTAATTTGCTTACTTTAATTATAAGTCCAATGATTTTTTTATATTCACCTAATATTTTTATAGTCATATGCTTCAGTATTATAAAATAAAACCGATTTTTTACATTACACATTATCATATCATATAAAGATAAACGGTTTTACGTAGGCGTGTACAGTCTAAGGCGTCGCATCGTTGTGACCAACCACTATTGGTTCCGGAGCTTTTGAGAAGTTTCAGGGAAAAGATTTTTCCACCGAGTGAGGTTCCCGCGGCCGGGGGGAGAAGTTAGAAGGTGAAACGGTCAGCGTGAGTAAAACCGTTTATTTTAAATGATATCTATATGAATACAACTCACGAAAGACAGATGCAAGATCTGCTTGCGATATATTGTATGTTTTATTTGCGATAACGTTAAAAATATTGAATTACATTTTCGCTTTTTATATATATTTTGTTATAAATGGTGCCAATATTGTCCAGTCCGTATATTTACAAATAGGTTTTGTAAAATATGACAAAGTGCTTCATTAGTTAATATGTGTATAATCTGCGTATGTATAAATGTATGTTGTGTATTGAATATCAGTGTCAGATATATTGTGTTATTTTTAGTATGTTTTACTGTGGCGCCGCCCGTATTCAAGACAAATCGGTAATAAAAAAAAATGTAAAATGATTATTTGTTTTATGTTAAACCTGTTCTGAGTGCTCCTATTGTTATCGTCGCCCGAAGTTGGAATATCTGGAAATATTTGATGTTAGAGAAAAAGTTGTCATATTCCAGTACTTCTACGACGTTTTAAAAGTTTCTAGTTGTGTAGAAGTTGTCTGATTACTAGTTATTACAAGATTTGTCGAGAGAGTTAACATCATATAAAGGTCCAGAAAGCATAAACATTTCTGGGCCTTTATATGAGGTAAACTCGGTTTCTAAACACATGTCGCGATCCGGTGTGGAGATATTCTAGTTCTGCGGTACACAACCAGTAAACCAGTGTGAAAAATAGTATAAGCAAAAATCATGAATAATTATTGGTAATTGGTCTATTTCAAATTGTTAGTATGACAATATCAAAGACTTGTGTTCTAATACGAATATTAATCAGCGTATTTGTCTATCGATGTTAGATTAGAGGAAAACACACACTGTCTACTGTGTAAATAATTTATACCTGAAATATTGAAATTTGTCCGAATGGTGACGGATTAAGAATACGGAATGTCACCACCCCTATTCATCCCGTGGGTGTCGTAAGAGACGACTAAGGGAGAAAACTACACAGGACAACAACACTGCAAAGAGAATGAAAACTTGAAACAAACCCAATACCAACCCGTTTGGCCAGCGTGGTATAGTAGGCCAAAACCTCCTTTCTAAGGAGAGGCCTATGTCCAGCAGTGGACTGTTATAGGCTGTTGATGATGATATTGAAATTCCAGTCGTGAATCGATATTGAGGACAATATTTTAGGTTGCTATTTTAAAACACACTATGGGAACTTATTCTTTTATTAAATCACAATACAACTATTACAATACCTCTACTAAAGTAATAAAAATTAAAGAATAAATGGATAATGAATTTCGCTTTCCAAATGGATATTAATCAGTGAATACTGATTTAGTGTTGGTGGTAGACAGTTCGGTGAGCTTCTGTTTGATTTCCGTGATCTGTAACATACAACGATGTCAAACTGAAAGCAGATGCAGGAATAAAAGGAAAACACCAAGTTAATTAGTACTGTCCTATAAGACAGAGTGAGCAACATCGCCTAAATCAATGCATAGATTCCCTCTCAATACCACCGTATTTAGAATATACCTACATGAAGTCTCTGGGTGGCTGTTGTTTGGATTCAAAACTGGGGATATGGCTCGAAATTATAAACTTACTGTCACGGACTGTTTGTCATTTAAAAGGAAAAACGAGAATACAGCAGAACGAGCAACTCATATTTACAGCCAGGTAAAATGAATTACTCGTTTTCTTTATAAAATGTTGACTCTTACCTTGATTATTACAACATTAAATAAATTTGTAAAGAGTCTAAATAAGTATCTGGAGGTGTATTCTCAGGCACAAAAAAAAACTAAAAAAAATAGTCATGACACTAACAATAATAAATATTATTTTTAAAATATCCCCGCTCTCCATCTGGGTCACAAAGTATATTTTCGTTTTTTATATTAGAGGGGCAGACGAGCAGACAGGTCACCTGATGGAAAGTGACTATCGCCGCCCATGAACGTCTGCAACTCCGGAGTCACAAACCCGTTGCCAGCCTTTTAGGAAGGAGTACGCTCTTTTCTTGAAGGTTTGAAGGTCGTATCGTATAATGTAAGAAATGTTTACTCCAAGCTAAATGGTTAACAAACAAACTTGCATTTATATAATTTAATAAAATTACCTTTTGTATTTCGTTCAAAAGCATTTTCTGTTCCGATCTAGGCGTCATATCCTTTCTGTTCAAGTCTATCGCCTCCAAATTCTCAAACAGCTGTTTGATCTTCAACGCCAAATGGACATCATTATTGCCCTTCCTAGGCTGAGTAGGTTTACACCTCCTGGATAATCTCTTTTTATACTTATCTGGTAAATCTTTTTCTATATCTTCTCTAGAGAGAAGATGCATGTAATCAGGATGGGTATCATAGGGATATGTTTTAGGGTCCATTTTGTATGAACCGTCAGCGTCAAATTGGTTGATCATATAGGTTTTACGCCAATCGCGTAGCAATTCGAGGTTTCTGCAAAAATTATCATGTCAACATTTCATTCATTCTAAACAAGCAAAAGCTTAAATGGAATTGTTTTCAGTTATTCAATTTTGGATTTACACTCAAAACTACATGCTATGGAAGATAGACGTAGTTTATGTATAATCCCCTTACATGAGATATACCTACGTGGAATATCTACAAGGAGCAGACGGGAACTGCTGCCTTTGTTAATGCCCGAGGAAAGGCTTTGGTTCCCTACAAAAGGCTATTCTAAGAAAAGCTCAGTAGCTAAGCTACCGAAAGTTATATATAATTTCTAAGCCACTAATATCGAGATCAACAGAAAATAATATTTTTACGGAGTCTAAATTACTAAGACTTCCTTTGTTCAGCAAACTTGCTCGTCTCAAAGCAATGAAGCAAACATGAAACAAAAAAAAATGCAAAGCAGCTGCGATCCCAAATATCTTTGAAAGAAACACACTTTCTCCCCTGCAGAATCTTGTCTCTGGTAGCAAGCAAATCTTTATGCTTCTTAATAGCCAAATCTCTGAAGAAACTCTGTCTTATCTTGGCATCTTGCAATACTTTTCCATCTGTTTTTATTGGTTTCAAATACTTTGAACTTTGACAATACGGAGGGTTAATCACTCGACTTTTTGCTAATTTGGGACATTTGCCTTTATTTCTTGGGTAATATTCCCCATCAGATTCATCGTCTGACAGCTTTTCGTTAAATTTGATTGACATCGTTTCCCTTTTCTGTTTGTCACCATCAATAACGGAGTTATAACTTCTCCCTTCCTGTATAAATGGATTTTCGTTGATGCTTACCGTCTCTTCTGATATATCTGAACGGCATCCGGCGAACACACTATCAATGTACTTTTCGTTTAGATAGTTTTTGATACTTGAAATTCCCGCGCTTAATATCTCTTTTGGCGGGTACGTGAGTGGATTTCCGGCTAATTGTAACATTTTTAAATTGTTAACAGTTCCTAATTCGTTTGGAAGCGAAGTTATCTGGTTGTTTTGTAACAATAAGTGGGTAAGACATGGATGATTTTTTATTGATTTCGGTATATCAATTAGCTTGTTATCTCGAACATCTAAATACATGAGGTTTTGCAAAATATCAAATAGGTCATCCGGTAATGATTCAATTTCATTATTTTGTAGATACAAAACCTGGAAAAGAGATAATTGAAATATGAACATACTTTACACTGAAAGAGTCCTACAACAATAAAATAAGCTCCTCTCTGATCTCTTCATCACAATGATGGAGTTACGGATGGAGACAGTTAATATTCGCAAAATAAGATATACCTTGCGAATACTTTTAAAGGGCTTTTACTGGGCAAGATCCGTGTGGTGACGGATTAAGAATACAGAGTGTTACCATGAACACCCCTATTCATCTCGTGGGTGCCGTAAGAGCCGACTAAGGGAGAAAACTATGCAGTGCAAACAGCACTGCAAAGAGAAGGAAATCTTGACACAAACCCTTTTCTTTTTTTTTTCACGTGTGGAAACCCCCTCGGGCCGTCACCCCACCGGGGTTTGCGTCGGGGTGGTGTGTCGGAATCGGACCGACTAAAACCACACGGTGTGCCACTCTGCGCCTGTAATAGGAGGGATCCGGGTACTGCTGTTATTAAGACATCCGGACCCCTCCCAGCGCCTGCCCGCAGCGGCGCGGACACCACCTTCGGGTAAAATCTCCATTTAGGCGACGTCTGGCACACGCGGACATCGCCTCCTCGCGGCTGGCCGTTATAGCGGGTGGAGGGGAACAAACCCTATACCAACCCGTTCGGCCAGCGTACAGCGTATAGTAGGCCAAAACCTCCTTCCTAAGAAGAGGCTATGTCCTGCAGTGGACTATTAAAGGCTGTTAATGTGATGATGATGATACTGGGCAAACTAGCAGATGGGTCACCTGATAGTAAGTGACTATCACCGCCCATCAACGCATGCTGTTTATGGTCGGTGCGAGTCCGACATAACCATCCCACCACTGGGTGGTATCCGAGGGGATTTCCGCACAGAAAAAAATACAGGGAGGAGGGTTGAGCTCCCTTATCATGATATCATCACTCAGTGAAAGGCAACGAAATAATAGTTTGAATTTAAAGTGAAAAATTACTAAACACCGGATTTTCTGTGAGGCCATGGATCCTTCACGGTATGTTCGGTTTGCGGAGAGCTATTTTGTTGTTTAGGCTACAAAAAGTACAATGCTGTTGCATGCCGGTATAGGATTCGTTCAAAGTTTTCCTTCTCTTTGAAGTGATATTGTCCTGAAGAGTTTGCTTCCTTAGTCGGCTTTTACGATAACCACGGAATCAATTGAGGTGGTGAACAAGGGTGTCGCCAGGCGATGATGGAGGGGGGGCTAGTAAAAATATAAATTAACTGCTGAAATCCATCCAGTTATTATGAAGATCAAGGTATTAAAAAAAATGCGAAATACCCGCGAAAAACATAACCCTTCCCTGGCAATCGGGTAAAAAATAAAGGCTACATTTTTTAGAATTTCTAGGGGCGGGGGCAGCAGCCCTCCCCTATCATCCCTTGGTGACGATCTTGGTGCATGGTGAAACTTTGTATTCTTAATCCGTCACAACGCGGATCATAATTAATCAATGACAATATAATTTCGACTATTTTTTTAATGAAAGAAAAGAACAAGAAAAGAAAAGAAAAGAAGACAACAAAAAACAGATTATGTTTGTTAATGGATAATGACTAATCCATTAACAAGCATAATCTGTTTCCTGTAAAATATATTTGATACATCGCTTTGCGAAAAAAAAAAGTAAATTGAAACAGAGATGAATAAATTGTTTTACATTATGTTGAAATAGGAAGACCCTTAAAATAGTAGCATATCTAGTAAATTATAATAATTTGGATAACTTACACATAAATAATAATTTTCTATCAGCGGGACACATTTTAAACGCTGTGTAGATAAATCCAAAGTGGTTTGCTCATTTAAATCTTCTTCGTAAATGTTTAACGCTAATTCATTCGAAGTGTCAGACATTATACTATTATAAATAGAATTAACAACATAAAATAAAAAGTATTTGTTTGATCGTTAAAATTCAGATAGCTAAATTTGAATGGTGCGCAAATTGTCTATGACCACAGAGTACAGTATACTGTACTCTGTGGTCTATGAGAGACTTGATATTTTACATCAAACTTTGTAGGCATGTGTACTGCAAAAAATAATATAAAGATGGCGTTAATATCATTATCAGTTTTTCTAATTTGTAAAAACTTAATAATCTTACAAGGCCTAAATGTATTTCATACTTTAATCTCACCTTTATAACCAAGTTGGAGTAATTAGACAATTTAATAAAAACAAAAGAAGACAAAAATTCAGTTAAAACAGTCCTTCACTATTTCGCTTTGTGACCATGCCATGTGCACCATGTCAAGTTTTAATATTTTGTCGTCAGTCTTCTTTCACGGCTCAGTAATTATTATTAAGGCTGAGCAGAGAGGTCCCCTGGATTTTTATATTTACACCAATCGCTTCAAGCTTCTCGACTTCCTGCTAACTCAAGATAGTATAAAAATAACGTTTACGCCGTAAGGGCCTTACTTCTATACCGTATAACAAATTTCAAAACCTCAACTTTAACGGTTTATGACAAGACACTCTTAAAATCTATCATTTTGGGTGCGGTAGACGGATTAACGGTAGATAAATCAAGCAATACTTAAATTCAAAATTAGTTTGAAAGGAACTAATTTTATTTACTAAACTTTAGTAGTAAGTAAAGTTTAGTAAACAAGACTTTCTAAATCTATTGCAGTGCAAGTAGACTTTTTGAAGGTTTCGAATAACATTATGACTACGATACATTATGAGTGTTCTTATACTCTGGGTATAGCGTTACGTGCTATTTAAATATCTAAAGCCGTTGTTTGCGCAATGTCTAAGACAAAGAACTTACTTTTTTTAGGAGTTTAATGAAATTTACCTGAACTTCTAATGAAAATTTAGTATATTTAACAAATTACAAGTTAAATAACGGGTACGTTTATTTTGCCTTCCATAGATTTTTTGATAATTTAATAGACAAATAGATGAATTTGCTAATGATGTACTGCTAAATTCTTTAATCTCGCACAATTCTTTCCATCTAATGCATTCATATATCAACTAAATTTAGTATTGAGTTCTTTAAATAATAATTCTCATAACACTAATAAATGTATATATTCCCATGTCTCTCCGTCATTTAAATAGCGGTACATAAATTATTTTTGCTTTAACTTTGCTTAGACACATGGTGAATACGTCACTATCTCAGTTGCAAGATGGCGAACGTTCGGGATAGTGACACATCTTTGTGGCTCCATAATAAACTCGGTATATCGAATGATTCGTGGACAAGCGGCTCAATTTGTACTCAATTAAACGCTGAAGTATTAAAGAATATCAAGGATTGTTTTCCAGATCTACAGACACAAGTGAAATTGAAATTATTGCTAAGTTTCTTTCATATCCCGCGCAGAAATGTTGAAGAGGTAACTTTTCTCTTTATGTTCTATGGTTTTGCGTAACTGTATTGTGTTTTCTTTCTCTTTCTACTCGTATTTATTATAGGGAGTAAGAACGAGAAACTTAGATACGCATGTATGTAGTAGTTTTATTTGTTGTCATATAAAATGAATTTACATGTTAAAATTTTATTTTGAAATCATACAATACACAATTATACACCGAATTAGTTTTAAAATATATAAGCGTAATACCATAACATGTTTTATACCTATATTTAATGTTCGTCTTGACGGTGTGTTGAAAAAACTCTTAAGAATTAATGTTTAGTAAATTGGTTAGGAATTCTTGATTTTATTGCTTGAAATCGGTGTTAAATCTAATAAGTACATACGTAATTTATTAATGAGTACCCATGTTTCTTGTATGATAATAATTTATTTGTTCATTTTTACAAATAACCTTATTCATTTTAGTATTTTATTGTGAAATTGAATTCAAGGACCCTTTACTCACGAGGCAAAGACATTCAAATTGAAAAATAAATTTTTAGCAATTAAATATACATACTTTCACACCGTATCCTCTACTAGGCTAACCAGAGGCGTATGAAACACGCACATATGCCAACTATGATTTGGTCCTACTCCTATAATCGGGGGAATTAATTTTGCCGCCAATCGAGCACTTTACGAATATAACATCGAAAAATTGTGGCTATCTGGAATGGAAAGGTTAGAGAGAAGAGACTTAGATATTTCTTTACCATAAATTTAGATGAATTGCTAGAAATTAATTATGCTGAGAAGTCAGAAGTGTCAGCCAAACCTACCCACATAATTTTTTTATAGCGATTATTAGTGTCTGGCATGTTGGTCTTTTAGTTATTGATCTTGACTGCTAAAGCAGAGGCTGTGAGTTCAATTCCCATTGTGGACAAATAATTGTGTGATGAGCATGATCATATGTTCTGTGTCTCAGCGTAATTTATCTATCATTTTTAATTACAATGGTTTTAGTCATTATTCATAGAAAGAGATTTGTTAAGTGTAGATTTAAAACTTGGAATCACTGGTGTCGCAGTAATTAATTCAACTGCAAGTCAGTGGTTACAAGTTTGATGCCCACTTATCATATAGTTGTCTACATGAAAATGTTTATTATAAATAGTCTAGTGTATACAAAAATGTTTTTAAGTATGTTTTAGTGTTCTAGAACCCATAAGTTCAAGTAATGTCATGTGGAGGTCTAGAGAATTTTCTCAAAAACTCAATAATTTTTTAACATAGAATACAAGATCAAAAATCTCATAAATAATATACAACTAGTCATATCTTGTATTACCTGTGCATATTATGGAATGCTCCGTTTCTAAAGGATGTAGCGTAATGCTTCATAATCATAACACACGAAATTCTGCAATAATTACTGTATCTAATACAAAAAGAATTATGCTTGCCTCTTAGTTCCAGAGATTATTGTGTTTAAGCAAATGATTAAACAGTAAGTTTTATAGAAAATAATTCTAAGGAATTTCATTTCACATAAAAAATTCTCATAGTATCATAGAATAATTAATGTGCAGATTATTTACTTTCAATTTCTTTTAATCATAATGTTTTGTTACAAATAAAATTCAAGGTTTCGATATTCATTTCACAGAATAACAAATCAAATGTTCTTCATACATATTGTCATGAGTATACAATAATGTCGATTTTGAAAAAGTATGAAATTCAGTTATTACTATATTCGGATACTACTGTAAATATTATTACTGCATTCAAGAAAAAGTTATATGTATCTTAGATTTTAAATTATTCAGTGTTTGTTTGATAGGCGCTCAAAGTAAAGGAAGCATGTGATTTTTCTAGAAAATGAAAAATTATTCCTTGTTATTTTTATTGCATTTTAAAACAAATCCTATTTTTCACTTGTATGCCTAATTTCATAATTACAAATTTAGAATTAAAAAGTTATGTCAAAAAAATTACATAATTATTTGAAATGGCTGCATTGTGTAAAGTTCAATAAATGTCAGATCCAACACTAGTCTACGACTGTGACGATATAATATAAATGAACTAAACAATATGAGTACATACTGAAGAAAAACAATTTATCGATTTAGAGTTTGTAAATGTTTCAATCCATATACCTTTTCATGAAATACAAACCTTTAAAATTCACCGCATTCACAAAATAAATTTTTGCTAACAATTAGGGTTGATGTTGCAATTTTAACATAACCTACTTTTCTGGTAGCCAGTCTTGTCTGGCAGGTTCGCAGTTTTAACCTAACCTGCTTTTCTGAAAGCATCTCGTTTCTGATGGGGTTGCAGTTCTAACCTATGGCTTAGTTAGATATATTTAATCTTAGTAAATACTAGCTGACCCGCGCAACTTCGTCTGCGTCTCTCAATAGTAATAAATTTTCTCGGTTTTTGAAACATTCTTCATTGGTGCTCCGCTCCTATTGGTCTTAGCGTGATGATATATAGCCTATAGCCTTCCTCGATAAATGGGCTATCTAACACTGAAAGAATTTTTCGAATCGGACCAGTAGTTCCTGAGATTAGCGCGTTCAAACAAACAAACAAACTCTTCAGCTTTATAATATCTTAGTAAATATTTATATAGTAAAATATTTGTTTATAACATTATATAAGTCGTTATGTCTATTTTTACATTTTTTTGAAATAAGATAACATGGAAAAATAGACTCACTGTTTTGGTGGGTGTATTTTTTTGTTAAAAAATACTTCCACTGTTTGATAACTATAAATAAATAAATAAAAACATTTGTGATTATAAAAATCATTGAATTGTGTTTCTGTGAAATATGTTTAATTCAAGTAAATACAATAATATTTTAAAATAAAAATATGTGAACCAATTATTTTAATTATATGAAAGAATTTCAGTGAAATTATAAAACTGAAATTTTTGTCTGCAAAACATGGGGACACCAAATATATCATAAGGTTTATATTATTTTTATACATATTAATTTTAATTTTCCATTTACAATGTGATTATAATAAAAATTTAAGAAATTGCTTCCTTTTAAGCTCTACTCTTCAAGGTTGGTTATTATCAGGATATCCTTAATAGTTAAAAATTATATTAAAAAAAAAATAGTATTCAAACAGTGCAGTGTGGTATACTAACAAGGGTGATCTTAACAGCAAAAGTATATGTCGAAAGAGAAGCACTTAATAAATTTTCTCTGCCTATCCTAAAATGTAAAGACCACTTTAAATATGTAATTTTTGTGCAGGTTTTATATGCTGTGTAGAACCTTTTCTCTAAAAAACAATGTAATTGTAACCAAATGGAATTATATCAAAGCCCTGTTAATACAAACCTAATTTACTGTTGTCCGTACCGTCGTAATTCACTGTAGACGACTACAGTAAATTATGATCGTAACAAGATGGTGATGACTCAAAATACATGGTACACTATACGAATAGTGTACCGTCTATTTTGAGTCATTATCATTTTGTTTCCACAATGCTTTCTTGCTGCCACAATGAGTTTGCATCTTCCAATCTCCTCTAACATCTAATCACATCTTATTTAACATAGTCCATTCATCTTTTCTTTCTCTATCCTCTACTCTTTAAAACATAAACTTCTACATATAAATGTCTTTAAGATATTTTGCTTCTCCTCTTCACATGTTCAAACCAATCCTTTTGTTTCTTGTTTTCCAATTCAGGTGTCACTCATCCATTCTTTTTATTCGCCAACATTCAGATACATATAGGATGGCAGGCTTAATGATTGTTATCCAGTCTATTTTGTGTACGACCTTGTTTGTATGGCCTTGTTAAACATACTTAAAATAACAGACTACCATGGCCGTTCAAAAGTCAGCTCAAATCTCAGACTCTAAAAGGTAACAATGGTAGCATTCTGTCTGCTATTAGGTAGTATAATATTGGCCTTCAATGAATGATTTAAAATTTATATTTCTTTTATTATGCACTTTAAGGGATCAGACAGTACCAGCTATTAGCATTATTGACCATAAACAATTTCAAATTTCCTTTAAAGTCATCAGCAGAATGTCTGATCATTCTTGACTGTTTTTTGATTTTAGTTGTGTGCCAACATAACATGTATGTTGGCACAGAAACAGTTTGGTCATAATGTAGTTTATTTTAAAAAACAACTCCTGCATTAGGAATAAAAGCTATGATGCGGGGGACCTTACAAACATACATGAAACGAACACAAACTACACCCAGACTCAGAAAAACAATTTTTCGATTACACAAAGTTGTCCCATGCAGGGATGGAACTCAAATAAGAAGCGGCGAGGTGACCGCTTAAAAAACTACCAAAATCCGTGCAATCAAATTGCTTTTTTGTTCTCCAGTATACCCTGTGCACTCTCGTGCAAGGCTAAAGAACGTTGTTGAATTTTGCAGTGGCGAAATGAACTTGAAGAAATCATCGAAGTTGCAGCCGTCGACTCAGACCTGTGGGTGGCTATGTTGGCAGAAACGCTCAAGACTTTTCCTTCGGCGGGCACCCTTAATACAGAGATAGCAGAATTTGATGAGACTAGACCAATATTCAGTGATATGATCAGTGAGCTTCGGAGAGCACTGGCAAAACATTCAGACCTCGGACTGTTACCACTCGAGTGCCTATATTTAAATAAGAATGCTTTGGTTTCTGTGGTGAGTACCAAGATTTACTAGGTGGTGTTAGGACCAATTAAAGTTTAGAGGGCCTGCGACAGCGAGAGCGTTTGGCGTTGCGATTGGTATAGATTTCAGTGCAGGTTAATCGCACCTCCGAATGCGATCACCGTGACGATCGATTAGACGTGAAATAAACTCGTACTTGGTCCTCGGAGTTCAATTTGAATCAGATTTAGAATAAAAGGAAATTCTTATATATAAATAGTTCTTATTTATATAGAGCATAAATGCGTGGTTCTAGAAAAACTTACCAAATAATTATCTATGGTAAAAGAGGCAAGAATAAAAAGAGACATCAATCCTGCCTTCATGTGTGTGAATGTTGTCCGAAAATCGATCGAAGTGGCGTCCAATAGGAGAGGCCTATGTCCAACAGTGGCCTGCAACGGGATGATGATGATGATGATGAAAGGGGCAAACGAACACGACGTTGTCACCAGCTGAAACCGCTGGGTCTAGAAACATAAAATTTTTGCACAAATATTCCTTAGGTGACGTAGGCACTAAGAGAGGATATTTTAAAATTCCACCCCTGAAACACACACTTCGTTATTTTTGGTAGTAGTCTCACATTACAAGTAATAAAAAACTTTGTCACCAATTTTTCGAAACTACCCTTAAAAAGGGGATGGGGTTTGTATCGGGAATTATTTTTTTATTGGTTCATTAATAGATTATAGGTCTAGAAATTTATTGACAAAATTGACATTTACGTGAGGTGGAGGAAAAATATGGTTTTGATATGTGTATTAGATACATAGATATTATAGATAAATTGATATTTAGGTAAGTTACCAGTTGAGTGGCAACTGCTGTGTTGAACAGATGTTATAAATCTTTTTGGTTGAATAAAGTTAGGAAGCTTTTTGTCCGAAGGTGTTGCCAGATGTTAATTAAATTTTTCCTTGCAGGTGGGCCAACAGCCGAACCCAGTGAAGCATTTTACCCTTAAACGCAAGCCGAAGTCAGTTGCCTTACGTAGCGAGCTGTTGGCCAAAGCTACAGAAGTACAAGCCAACCAGAAGAAAGCACAGGCCCCCACTGTTCCTGTACGAAGCCGTGGCATGCCTAGGAAAATGACTGACACTAGTAAGTTTATTTTACTTTTTTGACTATGGCCAAAACTAGATGTAGGGAACCCAGTCACTGCCATAGGAATAATGGTATGGATTCTTTTAAATCATTGATATCAAAACACGTATGGTTAATTGACAGGCTTGTTGAGTGGTGAGTGGTCCTGACTGCTAAGCCAGAGGTCGGGGGTTCATTGCCCTCCCAGGACAAATAATAGCGTGATGGGCACCATCATTTGTTCATGTCTGGGTGTAATTTATCTATAATAATTATGTATGTCTTTAGATATAGACGTTTATTTAGAAATAAATGTGCCCGCTTGACGGCAATAGGCTTGCCACCTAAAGTCGGCAAAATATGGGCTATAAATTCTCCTCTGTTTACCCCTTCGGGGATGAAGACGTGAGTACACAGGGTGTAAGGGACGGTGTAACGAATACTAAAATAGTGTATTCTGAGTTGCGACTCAGAATGATGGTCTGAATACACTATTTTTATCATTGGAATTCTGCAAATTCAAAAACAACTTTTTTGAAATTTCTTTTTTTTTTTTGAAATTTTTGAATTTTCCATTTTTTGGTTAAAATGATGTCGATGATGATATCGCAATAAAAAAAATTGCAAGGTTATTAATCAAACAGTCGAAGCGCGCTGGGCTTCCGCCGCTAACTTGTGTTAGTGTGCGTAGACTGTTTGCACGGAATGCAAATGTAGTTATTACCTTTGTACGATACCTACGGGGAATGACCTTAACGTTTGACAGGTGATTGCATAAAACGTTTAATTTTCCGGCAGAAAATTCCAATAATTTATGACTCAGAATGATGGTCTAAATAAACTATTAGTATTCGTTACACCGTCACTTACACGGATCGCATTTTGAATACAGACATTCAATATTTAAACATCAGTAGCAATAAATATCGCAAAATTAAATGCTCCTAAGTTCACTAACCAATGTCAAAAGTTCAGGTGGTTTTTGAAACAATAAAATAGTTTGTGTTTCAAATCTACCCTCAACTTTTAGTGATACTATACTACTAGTTTAAAATAACTAATCAAAAATTTATATTCTTTGACATTCGTTACAATGCAGCACTCATTTTAACCACATTCAATGAATTTTCAATAAGATATTGTGGGGTTGTAAGAGTTTTGAAACGGCGGCATTTGCAACAGCGCAGCGTCCACCGCAACGCCAGACGGACAGTAATTATTAATTATGTTGAAATTAGTAACTATTATTACACGTATGTAGAAGGTCATAAAGCCTACTTTATAGTTATCTTATATATAAAATTCTCGTGTTACAATGTTCGTTCCCGTACTCCTCCGAAACGGCTTGACCAATTCTCATGAAATTTTGTGTACACATCGGGTAGGTCTGAGAATCGGCCAACGTCTATTTTTCATACCCCTAAATGGTAAGGGTGACCCATCCCTAATTTTTTTTTGTTTTGCAATACAACGTTTGCCGGGTCAGCTAGTAATGCTATAACTTCGTAAAAGTACCACTGGACTTATACATACATATATCGCGGCATATTTAAATTTAGCATCATTAAAATTGATAATACCTTTATTTAAATTCATACTTATCTCCTTCGCTCTTCTTTAATCCTTTACGCTTCAGCGAAATCGCAATTTACGAATTTAAATAAAGAAATATTAAAACCGTTATCGAAGGTTAGCATTGTATGTTTGTTTAGGAGCAATATTTTCCTTGTTTATTGTGTGGTCTATATGATTGTAGCTGCATTTATGCAGGTAACAAATCAATGTTCGCTTGCATAGTTTAAAAAAAATCAGGCCATAATCACTTTGTTACGTAATTTAAAGTATTTACACCAAAGGTTAAAAAGAGCCAGCTCACTTCACGTGCCATATAGACTTTCTAATGTATTGATTTATGTCAATCATTGCTAACTGGCGGTTGTTCCTCCTTAAACGTTACCATAACTGGGGTGGAACTATTGATTCATGTGTTTGAAAGGTACATATAGTCGGTAGAACTAGAGTATGTCCAATACAGACTAAATATATTCTTCTTCTTTGTTCTTCGTACATAGCATAAAGCATCTTTATTATCAGTTCCGCCAGAAATCTAGAACTTTACGGGCAACCTAATTTTACTTCTTTGTTTCCAGCTCCCCTAAAAGGTTTGCCATCCAGGTTTTCTGGCGCTAGGGGTGGAGGATGGCGAGCTGGCGCTGCAAGACCTCCTCCCCGCGCTGGTATCAAACTGCTGGACATTACAGAGCAACCTGCCACTCACGCACAGATTAAGAAGAGAAGAAAACTGGGTATGTTAAAGTTATTGTAGCAATTTTACTGCACGGATAGCGTAATGGTTTAAGCGGTCACCTCGCCGCCGAGTGTTCGATCCCCACATGGGACATCACATTGTGTGATCCACAAATTGTTGTTCTGAGTCTAGGTGTTCTTTGTGTCCGTTTCATGTATGTTTGTAAAGTCTCCTGCGACACAGGATATATTCCTAATGCGGGAGTTGCCCTTTTTTAAAAAGAAAACAATGAAAAAAATTGGGCTCGATAGGAACTCCTTTTTACAGGTGAAGCAACCTGTCAGGCACAATCCTACCGCAGAAACATAACTCAGTGAACTCATGTCTTCTAACAGGCAATTCAAAAAATGTTTAATCAAAAATATGTTATTTAAAATTTATCTTCTATTGTGTACAGAAATGGAAGAAGGGGCGAAGAAAGCTGCTCCTCCACCTTCGTCATCGCCACCTCCGCCAGATTATGCTAAAGGACTGAACAACTATACTATGCCTAAACCTGACGAAAATGCTACTGGTATGTACCCCATACTTCTAGATACTAGACATGGAAATACTTTTAAATCATAATCATTTGATGAAATGATTAGTTTTGGTCACTGTGATTTCATCATCATCATCATTCATCAACAGCCTTTAATAGTCCACTGCTGGACATAAGCTTCTCCTTAGAAAGGAGGTTTTGGCCTACTATACCACGTTGGCCAGACGGGTTGGTATAGGGTTTGTGTCAAGTTTTCCTTCTCTCTGCAGTGTTGTTGTCCTGCGTAGTTTTTTCGCTTGTGATAAATTACTACTTCGATTTGGTCATAAACAAAGATAATATGCTATCAAAATCAATCAAACCTTTTTTAGAATTAGACTATTCGCGAGTCTGACGCTAGCATAATAATAAAAAGTCGCAGTGATGTTGTAGATGAGTCACATGGATAGAGAAAAGGCTGGTGCAAGATACCATCAAGACTTTTGCCGAGAAGTACTAGATTATAAAAAAAATATATACATAAACAAGCTTTTGCCCGCGGCTCCGCCCGCATAAATGTCGGTTATCGCGGTAAAAAGTAGCCAATATCTTCCCTCAAGGATTAAAGTATCTCTGTATCAAATTTCATCTAAATCGGTTCAGCGATTTAAGCGTGAAGAAGTAACATACAGACACTTTCCCATTTATATAATTAGTATAAATAAAGGACATGAAATCTATATATCATAATTCCTCAACAGCGCCTGCAACAGCAGAGAGCGGCGCAGCTCCGGCCTCGCCCTCCAGCGCCGAGCGGCCCGCCTCCGCGCAGCCCCCGCCGCCCTCGCCCCGCGCCGCCCCCGCCGCCGCCCCCGCCACCCCCGCCGCAGACCGCCCCGCGCCCCTCACCAGCCCTCTGCTAGTACAGGTACTGTATACCACTGACACTTACGCTCTATACATATACACCATGATATATAGTTTTATTTAAACTCAAAATATGTTTTTTATAATAAAATATTGTTTGAAATCGTCTCTTATGTAGGCTCTAAAGTCATAGATCGACACGTACGATAACAACGATTTCTGTTTTGTCAAATATTTAGCAAAATAAATACATCAAAAAAATAAATCGAAAATCTATTATATGCCAGGGGATTGAGCCTTATGAAAAGAAAAAGCAAACAAACTCACGGCCACTCTAAACTGTTCACGATTGCACATGGCCGTTATAATGTAAATATATGTAACGCGTGACTCCTCTCCAGGGCACGGGCGCGAAGCCGATAGTGATAGGGCAGCAGCAGCCCAAGCTGCTCATCACGGGCTCGGCGGGCGGCAAGCCGCTACTATTGTCGGCGCAGAACCTCCTCAACACCTCCACCGTCATACTGCAACCCGGCGGGAAGGCCGTGCTGCTGCAGAATATCAAACCTGTGAGTATCGTGTCTTGCTATAAGCCTTGAAGTCCCTATCGCCTCTTAAATCCCAGGACGTAAATACGGATATGCATCTCTTATTTTTTCGAGCTTCTGCAGTTTCAATCCCATTCTCTATCTGAGACTGGAAAGATGAGTACCTTTCCTTACCCTAAATTGACCATGCCTTCGTTCCATCTAAAAACGATTATATTTCCAGGATAGGTTACGTCCGGAAGGCGATTGACATAATAGAATCTAGCTAAAAGTCTATGTTACACATTATGTCAAACCCAAATAAAATTGGGGGAAGAACAAAAGGGATGAAGAGGTGGTGACAGTCTGTATTCTTAATTCGTCACCACTATTATCTATGATTTGTACCTATAATATTTAGGTATATATCTAGAAATATATATTTGTTAGCAGTCTTGTTAACATTGCACAAACCCTACCCAATTTGGGATCACAACTGTATGGGAGATGTGATCCCAAAAGTTACTAAAATTAAGTTATATTATTAACTGTTGGCGTCTTATGGATGTTACTAAATTTGTAACAAAATTTAAATGTCAATATATTTATCCATTATATAACATAGTATGTTGTATCGATTGTCAGGTAACACAGACAGTTGTTCAACAAGCAGCGGCGCGACAGGTCATCCCCACTCTGCAGACGCAGCCACCACCTCTACAACATCAAATAGCACAACCTGTGAGTAATTCTCTACTACCGGACATAAATATACCATGAAATGATGATCCACTAAAGTGTATTTTGTTTTCCACGTTTATATCATGAAAATCTGTCGTTAAAAAGTACGACAAAATATAGACATACAACATATTCTAATCAGACTGCATTATTTTTCATTGGTTGTATCTGTAATTAATTATGGCATTTAAAAAAAATCGATTTTTTTTATTTTAAAATGCACTTCAATATCTAGTACAAAAAAAAATAAAGTTTAAAATTTTAGTATTTGTGATTAAGAGGATTGTTTCGACTTTATAATGCTCTCTTTATGTACTTATAAAGCGTAGAGACGATAGTCTTAAATGTCTTGTCTTAAATCTGAATTAAAATAGATTCGACGGATAAAAGTAAGCTTTTAAAATAAAGCACGATATTCTTTTCCCACGAGCTAATACTAGAATTCAACAAAATGCCAAATAATAGAATGGCAAACTCTAAATTGTCATCCATTAGTGGGCGTATATTCTTGTGACTATATTTAGTTGATTTCTTACTGCGTTTAATTAATTATGACCCCTTTTATATCTCAAGGTACAAATAGCGCAACCAGTCCAGCAACAAACAACCGTTCAAGCGTCGACGCCCGTACAACAAACAGTGCAACAGCCCGTGCAACAAACGCCGCAACCAAATGTTCAAACAACGACGCAAACACCGCTGTTGCCGCGTAGAGGCCTCTCACTCACGGTAAACAATTAGTATAATAATATATAGCAGTGAAAAATTGTTTTAAAGAATCCAGTCCTTCCAATATCTCCGTCCGTGTGGTGACGGATTATGAATACAGAGTGTCACCACCCCTATTCATCCCCTGGGTGTCGTAAGAAGGGTGAAAACTACGCAGAACAACAGCACTGCAGAGAGAAGGAAAACTTGACACAAACCCTATACCAACCGGTCTGGCCAGCGTGGTATAGTAGGCCAAAACCTTTCTAAGGGGAGGCTTATGTCCAGTAGTGGACTATTAAAGGCTGTTGATTTGATGTGAATATTATCTCCCTACAATAATAATGCCTTTAAGGTATTATTATAGGGACCTTTTAAGACATTCAGTAATTGAATGCTCAGTTTTAATCCTACACCTGAATAAAATAATATGCATCTTTTAAAATTAATCTTTTTTGATAGGCGTATTATTTTCAATTTGCTTGTCCCTGCAAATTTTTTAATGCTCTAAAACAGTATAGTCAAAATAGAGCTATATTAAGTACTAAAAACCTGTGAGACTGCCTTTTACTTGAAGGAATAACACTAAATATTTTAATTCTACGCCTCATTGCAATATGTGCCTTAACATGCCTATCTTATAGCAATAAGTTTGTTTTTGCAGCGTGAACAAATGATGGAGGCACAGGATATGTTCCGAAACGCAAATCGTGTCACAAGGCCTGAGAAAGCGCTCATACTTGGCTTCATGGCGGGCTCCAGAGGTAAGAATGAACACAATGTATTTTGTAAACACATTTCTACTGCTGTGGCTCCTACTACTAAGGTATTATAGTAAGCGTAGTGGTGGTCCATGTGGTGACGGATTAAGAATACAAACTGTCACCACCCCAATTCATCCCGTGGGTGTCGTAAGATCCGTCTAAGGGAGCAAACTAAGCAGGACAACAGCACTGCAAAGAGAAGGTAAACTTGAAACAAACCCTATACCAACCCGTCTGGCCAGCGTGGTATAGTACGCCAAAACCTCCTTTCTAAGGAGAGGCCTATGTCCAGCAGTGGACTAGTATAGGCTGTTGATGTGTAGTGGTTTAAGTGGTTACCTCGCCGCTTACTACTGCACTGAGTGTTGTGGGTCCGATCCCCACACGGGACAACACTTTGTTGTGATCTACAAATTGTTGTTCTGAGTTGGGTGTTCTTTGTGTCCGTTTCCATGTATGTTTGTAAAGTTTCCCGCGACACAGGATATATTACTAGGGCGGGAGTTGTCTTTAAAAAAAAAGATTAGCAGTCAAAATCGGTAAGAACTAGACTAACAGTCTAGAGTAACAGTAAAAAAATCTGTTTAAACTCTTGTGCAATCAATAAAGAGATTTTTGAGTCTAAAAATATTTGTTGAGTATCTTAAGAAGTAAAATTAATTCTTAATTATATTTATTTTCAGATAACCCGTGTCCGAACCTAGGTAACATAGTTACGATAAAACTATCTGAAAATATAGAAAATGTCTTACAATCCGACGACACATATCTCACCATGCTCTCTGAAATGCACTTCCAAATGAACTACAATAACGGTCAATGGACACGTCTGAAGAAATACAGACACATAGACGGGATGGTCCCACAGAAAATACCACCAGGATCAACAGTAATAAGTACCAATAACCAACAACCTGTAGTATCTATAGCCAATCAAAGTGTCAGTTAAGTGATAAGGTAATGTTCACATTTGGCTCAATTGTCAGTCATTTTCATGTCAATATGTTGTGTAAAGTCAGTGCAGTGTGTACGAAGGCTTATTGCTTTCTATTGCGACGTCTATGGTAGTCTTTGGAATTGACTAACTTGATGAAAGACAGTTGTAAAGTAATAATAAAAAAAGGACTGTGTTGATCATTATTTGATCCCGTGTTAGGTGTTCCTATTAAAAATAAATCTCAATTCTAAATATGTACATAGAAAGTTTAAACTTCAAGTATGGGAAGGTGTTATACCTGTGGACATTTGCCGGATTTTGAATGAAAATATGGTTTAATAATTTAATTTTTATTTATTAGCCGTAAAGTATTACAAATGTTGTTCCAGGATTAGTTAACACTTAAAAATTAGCAGTCTTTAGTTTTGTACGAATTATGTTGATTAAAATAAACCAGTTTTTTTTAAATCACTAAATTTGTCCACAGGTACATCTTATGATTGTACCTCTGGACAGAAATACTTGTACCTATGGACGGCAATGTACCTATGGACAGATCACTTATCCTTACATAATAATCCTATAAAAATCAGCAAAAATAAATAGAATATCTTTATAAATCAACTTTAACATTAAAGAATCAATTATTCTTTTTGGTTTTGGCATCTAAATAATTTTGATATAGTTCTAAGGCAGAATCATCAGAGGCATCTGAATCACCATCATCTAAAATATAACACTTTTGATATAAGAAGTCTGACTCATCATCTGATTCAAAATTATCTAAATGTGATCTTGATACACATTTCTGGTGATATTTCAAATCGCATTGAGAGCAATTGAGCAGTTTGTAAACATTTTCATGTCTTTTACATCCCATACACATGGCTTAGGGTAACTGGTCATCTTGAAGAATTGTGACCCTTTTTTCTGCAGATTGAATTTTTATTTTTATCTAAATATTCTGCAAGCTGTTTTTCTTCTTCCTCATCAAATACTTTCTCCACGTCATTTCTCAAAATAACTACCCTGTTCTCGCTCAGATCATTCTCCTTATTCATGTGAAGGTATTTAAATATCGTAGATTTTGGTATTTTATATTTTTCTGCAACTTTTCGCAATGAACATCCACTAATTGCCTCTTTAATTGCCTCAGATAACGTCTCTGAACACAACCTACGGCGAGTTTTTCCGTCGAGACACTGAAAAATGAAAAAAAATTTGTACCTGTGGACAGTCCATAGGTACATACACTTCGATGTCCACAGGTACAAATCAGACAATACAACCTAAAAATCTATTACCGGCATGATAGGTACTAGTTTACACCGTTATACCGATGTAAATGGATTGTTAACTACATGTACTACAGTATGACTAAAAATAATCATCTATATTCTGCATATGTTCACAAAAAAATAGGACGAAAAAGAGACAAATACTTACTTTTTTGAGCGATAACCCTTAACGGTCTGTCACCGGTCACACAACAAAAGATACAAAATGGCAGCAAGTCAACGTTGCCACACATCAAAAATACTTTACGGATGCGTTCAATTCGTTAAATTTCTGTGTTTATTTTTTGAAATATCAATGATGTCCACAGGTAAAACCGTTCATAGGTACAACACCTTCCCCTAATGTCTATCTAATGCAATTTTCAACTAATTTATTTGGACTATACAATATTTATTACACAATAATGAAATAACTTTTGTTTAATAAACAAATATACAAGTAAAACACGTCAACTTTAAAATTATTAAGCAAATAACTTGAGTTTTGTGAGATCATAATTTAAGGTTTTCATATTGTATCCTTTATGTGGTATTGCCGGACCAATACCATCTTGAAACCTTCAAGAGACCAGCCTACTCCTACCTCAAAGCCGGCAAGGTGGTAGTCACATTTTACATCAGGGCCTTAATTCTGCTATTTTAATATTGTATCAATAGACTGTCGTCGCAATAGTTTTGGACTTTCGTATTCTACTATGTAAGACCAATGGCCAATGAATTGTGACTGAACTGCCACTGATACAAATGTCGTCGATGTCTTTGTAATTGTGTAATTGTTTACTAATTTAAATTTTTTCCTTTAACATTTTCCGTAAAAACCGTTTACATTTTAAATTAGTAAGGAAATGAAATATTAAATTTTCCCGATATGGCAATATTGTTGAGCCATTGTCACTACATCTGCAGAGTATTGACACTGTAAATTTATGTTAGTAGAATACTGATGGTTTGACTGATGTCATCTCAATAGCGTGTCAATGGAATGACAGTGATATGTATACATGAAATAGCACAATTGAGTTCTAGGTGACCCATCTGCTCGTTATTACATTATAAAAAAAAATATTGATATCGCATACTAATTAATTTTTGTTTCCACTCAAAGTTTGCTAGTTTCATAGTTTAGCTGTAAAATTATATAGAAACACTGGTTGTTCTTGGCGTCGTTTGTGGGTTACGTTTACTTTTTCAGTTGTTTTTTTTTTGTAAACAGAAAGTTTTTAGACCAACGACAAATGTATGAAGTTACAAAGCAATCGGACGAAAGATGCGTGAACAATTTTTATATCTAAGAGGTTTTCAATTTGTCTGCAATCTGTCTGAAACCCACTTGATTTTATTCAAAAGTACTGACTTTACGCAACATACTGTAACAAAACATAGTGACGGAAGGTGGCTCGCAGTCAGTGTGCGAAGCCAAACGTGGATTATCTCTAAGACTTAGTGCAGTGAAGGTGTGCAGTGATACAATACCTGTTTGAGAATTGGAAACTTAAATGTAAGTGCTTTTTGTTTTGCGTTAGAGTATATAGTTTAGTTTATTTTTGAAGCAGTAATGTAGATCTTTTTATTTCATACTAGCTGAGACCCGCGTTGTTACCCGCGTTTGTTGTTATAACCGCGGGCAACGCCGCGGGGCGAAGCTAGTCTAAAAGAAGTAGCCTAAGTTACTCCTTATGTCATCAGCTATCTGCCAGTGAAAGTTCAGTCGAAATCGGTCCAGCCGTTCCAGAATGTACCCGGAACAGACAGTCAAAAATTGTAAAAAAAATATTTTGGCATATGTACCGTGTAAACATACATATGCATTTAGTAAAAAGCGGTTATTTTAATATTACAAACAGACACTCCAATTTTATTTATTTGTATAGATCAGCCAATATTTCAGGTCAGCCAACTTGAGAAAAGTTCGAAACACATTACAATATTTTTGTATTTTGTCATATATCAATATTATTCTAGAGTTGAATCGATTAAAAGGCATACTTTGGATGGGGAGATGGTCATTTTAAAAATCTTTTGTATAAAAACGTTTGTTCGTGTATACATTCATCTAATCATTATGAAATGTTGCCCGAGATACAGCAAAGGGTTATATTTTATTTATTGAAATTAATGCCATGAGGAATTCTCTCCCAGTCGACCTTCAGGTGATGTAGAAATATGATGCGGTAGGTGCAAAGATAAAATATCAAATTTGTATTGTATTTGGTAAATTAAAAATAAGCCTACATTAGATATAACAAAAATACATAAATTATTTACTACATGTATTAAGATATTTGCATATAAGTCCAGAAGTATACACAATACATACACACAATATAAAAAACACCTACTTAAATTTGATTTCATATAAAAATACACAGGCGGATACTAGCGTTGTGACTGTTCTGACAATTCATTCCGAAGAAGTTCGCGTACTTTTGACTTGAATGTAAGGCGGTTTGTTGACATCCTGATTGCATTCTAGAGAAGCATTGACTGCACGTATATTCATCTAAAACAAACTCACAAATGATGAACAATTATATTTATTTGCATGTTCAACGGAACATGAAATTAAGCATACATATTGCCAGGGTTACAAATAACGATATAGGGTAATATTCATCTAAATAAAGAAATTCTCAAAAATGGAAAATTACTTTAAGCGAGCGAACGAATTAATTTTATCCAGCCACAAGTTAAGTGGTTGATTTGTTTGCTTGCATAAGCATTGATTCATTATTAGTGTGCCACATATGAGACTGAATGCTCAGTTTTGCTCGATTCGTCAGTAAAACAAATGTTACCTTTACAGAATGTTTCAATAAAGAAATACTCATTCTGAAAAGTTCATAACTCGTCAACACCTCGTGATTATAAGTTATACGTGGGCCATACTGGATGAGGCCACTTACGATAAAAGAATGAAAAAACAATTATGGAATTCGAAAACGGAACTCTTTGGGCACATGTTACATTTTAATTTGCTAGACTGTCATTTGTTTTGTCCTTGTAACCTTTAACTTATTGAATCTGATAAAAAAAAATACTTGTCAGCAAATTCGTGCTTTGTTAGGCCAAAGCCAAGTGCAAAACATTTTACATGTGCATCTGAAGGATCGGAAGCTTTGCACTCGATGGATACCGCATGACTTAACGGAGGGCCAGAAACGGCTGCGTGTCCAGTTGTGTCGTAAAAGGATGAAAAAATTTAACAGAGGACAGTCATTGGCTGTCTATAGTATCGTGACACGTGACGAAACCTGGGTGTACTGCTTTGAACCCGAAAAAAAACGTGATTTGTCGACGACACCTAACAAAAGTAGAAGCATTGGTAAAAAAATGGTTGCTTCTTTTTCCGGCAAATCAAGACATTAACCTACAGTATAGCTTGAACATCAAAGGACAGTTACTACAGATTGGTGTCAAAACTTGCTTGCCCAGAGTCTTATAAAAAGTTCGCGAAAAGCGTCCTCGAAGCAATGTCCTCCTTCACCACCATAACGCATCCTCACATTCCGCTAAGGTAACAGAAGCCTATTTGAAAGCTTCAAATGTGGAACTGATGACGCATCCGCCTTACAGCTCGGACCTCGCACCCTCCTACTTCTTTCTGTTTCTAAAAATGAAAGACAAACTTAGACCCTGAATCGACGGTGAATGCGTTCTATGAAGCCATTGAAGAGGTCCCTAAGGGAGGCTGGTCCGACTGCTTTGTACAGTGGTTTCCGCGAATGCAAAAATGCATTAATTGCGAGGGAATATACTTTGAAAAACAATAAATGTATCGTAAGTCTTATATCTAGTCTTATTTATCAGAATCCAGAAACTTTCAGTATGCCCTAAGTAATTACCTGACAGTGACATGCTGTCAACTGTCCTAAAATACCAACTGATATAGCTTCATAAACCTATAATATAATCTGGCTGTGATTTCCATCATTTAACAGTTTATTGTTTCACTGCATCTCTTCACTGAAACCCTTAGGTTCCTGTTGGGTTACATTTTTTGTTACTTTTATTACAGATTTCGTTTAGTACCCAATATGGAATCGTTCAGAAATTATTTTTGTAAAATACTATTGGTATGTTAGTAATTAGTATAATTATTGAAATGTTAATAAATACACAATTTTTAATCAGGACATGTTTTAGAATTCTTATTAACTGCTACGAAAAAAAAATGCGCTAATTTTTGGGAGAAAAAAGTTCCTATGTTAGGAAGAAATATTTAGAAAGTTTCCTAAAGTCTAGCAACACTGACATGTCCTTATAATTGTGTATTTATATTGGTGGACAATGAAACGAAATGAATTTTGCTTTTACTTCTTAATAAATTAGATTTTTAATTCGATAAGAAAGTATAAAAACATTTTGGTAAGTTGTGGCTTTATTTTTAAAACGGCAAAAGTGAAAGAAGGTATTACTTTTTTTTTGTAATAATTAACTTGTCCAGACGACGTTTTATAGCCTAACCAGAAAAATAAAAAGTTTTTTCAGATAATGCGGTTCAGGCATGCCTTACATGTTTACTGTGTGACATCTGAATGTTGTTTTAAAGGGCACCTTTTGTATATATCACTAAATCAATGTATACCTATAATAAATAAATTTGGCATTGCTCCGCTTTTGGTTCATGATATAATATGGTCTTCATCATCTCCGCAACAAACGGGGTATGACACCAGAAAAATATGCAAATCGATTTGATAGTTTTTGAGATAAGGAAGTTTCAGTTTCAAACTAATTAGTACAGACATACAACGAATATGTTAGTTATTAAAGTGTCTTAAAATAAATGTTGTGTTTGTTTCAAGAGAAGTTCTATTGTAGATGTTTATTTTTCTGATTGGGTTATTTTCTATTTACAAGAAAATGTTTTGTCACTATAGTACATATTCTTTGAAATCTTCCATTAAATTCGTTTTAATTCGTGTAAAATTGGATTAGTAAGAGTTTTGTGTCTTCTCAAATTTTTAATTTCTAATGATTGGTGTGCGCATACTGTTCTCGCGCGCAATGATAATTCAATGTTGCCACGTTGAAAAAAAGTTATATTACTAGCTTTTATTTCGTGATCTCACAATATTTGACTTGGAAATTGAACGTTTTTTGCAGTATGATTTCTAGTGCCAAAAGAGTTGCAAACTTGTGTCTTGAGTGATAGTGGCTCGCTGACTAGTTTCTGTCGCTAAACTTTAAAAGCCTAATTCTTTTTTAAATTCATGAGACCATAGTGGCCTTAAGTTTTTTTTCTTCTTCAGTAAAATACAAATTCACCGAGAACATCCCGGCGAAGTAACATTTGGGGGAACATTTGTTCTTTTGCCAGTACTAACGGAAACTAGTTGGTGCGCAAATTTTATAACAAAATATATTTTTTGTGTAATGTGCGAACCGTTTCGTGTATATTAGATTGTTTTCAGTAGATTTTATTAATTAAATATATGCCTACAGAGCCTTTCTACATTGTTAAGGTATTATACAACGTTATTTGCGTTTCTTTGATAGAGTAGACTTGGAATATTTTAATGGTTAGTGCAACCAGTGTAGTCGAAATTACCAAAGATCTCATCGAAATTACGAAAACAGGTTAAACAAACAACTTGCGCCTGTTTATCTTCAAGATGTGAGCCGTTGTAAAGCGTATAAGACAGTATAAAAACACCGCAATTGTATTTTCAAGCAGTTAGCTTGTTGTCTTAACCCTTTAAAGAGTGCTTGCCTCGAGTAAAGTAACGATTCTGCCTCGAAGTGAGCAACTCATGTGCTCGACTTTTAATTCCTAAGTCTTTTCTTTCAAAGATAGGCAAACTATATTAAGGAGTGCATGACTAAACGAATCTGATCATTGTGTTACATGCTTTTGAGATAAGTATTTCAAAATAGTGTCTCGTTTTCCTTAGGAAAGACTTGTTGTCCAACATGTAGCCATACACGAATTTCAGTTAATAAAAGTATACTCATGGTTGTGTAAAATAAATTGGAAATCCATGGCGGTGTTTGCGATATCCGTAGCAGGTCCCTTTACGTATTGATGCTGCAGCTCCGACGGGCTTGAGACTAATCTGTCATCTCGGATTGGCATGATGTTTGCAACAAGTCTGTACTTGAGGAACGAGATTAAATGACCAATTGTGCAAAGTAAGTTTGAAATAGAGCGAGTGTTGAATTACGCGTTGTAAAATAAACTAAAATTAAATGCGTCAATTTAAGAAATGTTTTAATGTACGACAGTCGTGTTCTTTTTTCATATTATATAAGTAGCAAATGAAAATAAACCATGCCTTGTAAATTGCCTCGTAAAAAGGCAAATCATGAAAATGTTCATTAAATTGCCTTTTGCTTATTTTATGACACCAAGAATTTTATAAAATAATGTCAAAACTAAAAGTCGTATATTGCGATGTTTTTAAACATTTTTACCAAAATAATTGTTAATTGTTGGTCTGGAATTGGATTTGAGTTAATTAATTATGAAATAGTGCCTTTGTATGCTTATAGATAAATAATTGTCATCGCAGACTTCAATATTTAATGAATGTGGTGAAATAAGGGTGTCGTCGTTATACTACTAATGTAAGAAATTTTCATAAAAAAATCATATAATACAGATTCCTGGATTAAAAGTATACAGCTCTGATTCAGTTCCAGGCCGAATTTCTTTTCCTCCAACTGTATTTTGAGAGTTATTTTAAATACATACCTAAAAACTTGTAAAATAAAAGGCATTCCGTAAACGCTTTGTGCCTCGTATTAAGAAAAATCTGCCTCGAGTTGAGTAAAATTGATTTTATTTTGTAGTTTTTGTGGATGCGATATTGTGGGTTTTTAAAAATTGCTCTTAAAATATTTGGATTGTTGTGGTTTAAGTTTTTTTTTTAAATGAGTAGACAGAAGTATGTATGCGTTCAGCGGAACTCTGTTATTTTAGTATTCGCGTTAATTATAAGTTTGTTGTACGATGTTTTTTCTATAGATATTTAATACAGTGTATATAGTAGATAGTACAAAAATATAAAATGAAAAAGTTAAAAATTATTTTGCTATTTTTATTTCTTAAACTATTTATATTCTGTAAAACTCAATGTTATTTTTTTTTTATTTTTATGTTATATGTGGTCTTCGAGATGTTTTCTGTAAGTATCCACAAGGGGTAAGCAGCGGCATATAACTGTGAACAAATAAGGAAATCATTATTATGATTACATTGATAATTGACGGGCCTTTTGGTCTAGTGGTTAGTGCCCCTGACTGCTAAGCCGGAGGTCGTGGGTTCGATTCCCACCCAGTACAAATATTTTGTGATGACATTATCATTTGTTCTGTGTCTGGTTGTAATTTATCTATAATATGTATGTATTTAAAAATATATAAGTATGTTTATTAGCAGTCTGGTCACCATAGCACAGGCTCAGTTTGGGATCAGACGGCCATGTGTGAGATGTGTGAGGTATATTATATTAATATTATTATATTATTTAATGACAGGACAGGACATGTCATGCGGAGGCTATAGTAAAAGGTGGCGAAGAAAGCGTTAGCTATGGGAGTTGAAGGGTACAAGAGAAGAGGAAGGCCAAAGTAAAGGTGGATGGACTGCATGAGTGAGGATATAGCTAGAAAGGGAGTAAACAGTGAAATGACGAATGATAGAGTTGAATAAATATACCTCACATGGCCGTCTGATCCCAAACTAGGCAGAGCCTGTGCTATGGTAACCAGACTGCTGATAAACATACTCATATATTTTTAAATAGATACATATTATAGATAAATTACACCCAGACACAGAATGATCGTGCTCATCACACAATATTTGTCCTGGGTGGGAATTGAACACACGACGCTTAGCAGTCAGGGTCACTAACCACTAGACCAACAGGCCCGTCAAATGGAATGAATGGAAGAGTCAGAGTAGCGCTACCTCGCCCCCTCCACTGTCTGTCACCCCGCGGGACGGTCGCGCACGAGATTGCGGGGTTATAATAGAAGTTTTAAATTTGTTGGAAGGATTTAAAATTTTTGTTCTGTTTCGAAACTTTCAGTGTTTTACAATCTAACAATGATTAGACGCAACCATAGCCATTACAGCCCATTTTATCACTTTATCGTTTATGAACCGAATATAGATTTATTTGATTAAAAAGGATTTGTACATAGATTTCTATTTTTTTCAATAAAATAAATCAGTACATACATACTAATAATTGTACAAAATGAGCATACAATATGTAAATCAGTCTCATTGTCACAAACGACAAATTCTAATTCATATTCTCGTGTAACAACACAAACATTGAGATGCTGCGTCGATCTCACCTTCATTAACGACAATTCTGACCGGTGAACCCCGAGGAGTTGTCTTACTGACTCAAATCACTTAATAGAGTCACTTGTAACAGAATACCTTCGGGCTAATACAGGAACCGAACCGGCTTGTGGCTTTCACATCACATCACATCAACAGCCTTTAATAGTCCACTGCTGGACATAGGCTTCTCCTTGAAAAGGAGGTTTTGGCCTGCTATACCACGCTGGCCAGACGGGTTGGTATAGTGTTTGTGTCAAGTTTTCCTTCTCCTGCAGTGTTGTTGTTCTGCGTAGTTTTCTCCCTTAGTCGGCTCTTACGCCACCCACGGGATGAATAGGGGTGGTAACACTCTGTATTCTTAATCCGTCACCACACGGACTTGTGGCTTTAGTCAGTCCAATTACTGTTCACTTTATCTTTAGCACTGGTAAGGTTAAAGAACCCATTGGGGTTTCAAAACCCATATAACAGGTTCTATCACAAACGGAAAAGCCACTCACCAAATAAAAAGCTGACTTCCACGATGAATTCTATGAAGGAGGAACGGCTTTGCATCTTAAACTTGTACAAGAACTCCATCATGGTGACCATTAACTCCATTACAACGAACCCGAGGGTATACCACACGTAAACCTGGACAAGCACTGCACTCTCCTGACAACATAAAAAAATAATTATTTACCATCAATGTCCTGCAGTTTTACTCATGTAGTTACTGCTCAGTTCCTGAAGGTTGTAGTGTGATGCCAAACCATATATATATATATATATATATATATATATTTAAGAATCCTAATAGTTTTGATGATTCATATTATCCTCAAGGGGATGGGGAGGTAGCCAACGAGCCGATGGGTCACCTGATGGTAACTACCACCGCCTATAGGCATCAGGACGCACATGAAAATTATTGCTACTTTGAAATCATTTTATTTCGTCATAGACAAAGATGAATGCCTTATCTTTGTATAAATAAATAAATCGCAGTAGTTTTGTAAATCAGTCACAGGTGTGATTGTATGATATATAATTCATATGATTTATTACATGTGAAAGTGATTTTATTCGATCCCTACTTGTGACTCTTAAGTCACCAGTGCGTCCTCCTTGCCCCCCCCCCCCCCCCCCGGAATCCCGGAATCCAACTAAAGAATTGTATTACATCGATTTTCTGTAAGTCGTGGTATCAGTATGATCGGCCCATTTGTGTCGAGGCATTGCTCTCCCACGACTATTTCACTAAGTAAGTACTGTATATCATAATCAATTTATCAAACATATTTTCCTACCACAGCAAATTCTAGCTAAATACTCAGTTCTTTCAGCCCAAACTCCTTCCAAACTGTACTACTTACAACAACAGACGCCACCAGCAATAAAAGATTGGCCATCTGGAACAGTGTGACGAGGAGTGATCGTAGCGACTGCACATGTTCCATCACCTGTGTCTGCTGGCATTGGTACCAGCAGGTGTTAGTGTCATTGGTCATGGCATCTAGAACACTTGCCAGCTGGAACAACATTTCCGTCAATTTAAAAAATGGCAAATTTAAAACTGTAAACACTATACACATCTGCGGAAATAAAATCAAAAAAATGGCCACTACCTAAAATTTTCAGGTCAGGCTTGCATGAAAAAGGCTATGCAGCTCAATATTGAAACCAGCAATAATAACCTTTCGGACATCTGCCACATTACGCCATCTAGTTTCAAACTAAGCAGAGTTTGTACTGTGAAAGCTAAATTGACTGATAAAATACTAATACTTTTTTTTTAATACATACATTTTAAACATAGAAAACACCTAAACGCCGAAACAAATATTAGCGATCATACAAAAATTTGGTCCGACCTGGGAATCGAACCTAAGACCCTCAGCACAGCAGTCGCATAGGAGGCATTCAATAACTTCACTACGAGGCAAATCCTAACTTATTTTAACGCGTTTATTTACAATTTTTATAATGCTATTATGGGGGAGAGGGGGGGGGTTTCAAACAATCACGTCTCACCTGATGGTAAACGACTACCGTTGCCCACACTATTATTGAGACTGTGCCAAAAGATCCTCTTTAAACCGTTCCATAACCATTGCATACGGTAATAATGTTGTTATTCATAACCATGGCAGATTGACATACTTGTGTGTAAACTACTACTAAAGTATGGAAGAAAGTAGGTACTGGTGAAACGTCAATAACAAGGGTTATAGCACTAACCAAACTAATAATAGATATAAGTGCGATAACACTTCTCTGTGGCATGCAGCAGCAAGTGCCATCTCCGCACATCACTAAAAGCGGCTGTAACCAACCCATTTCTGCATTTACATACCCATTTGTTCCCAACCACACTATATCATTGATATAGTTTTTTTTTTGTTGTTTTATTAGTTTTATTGTAATTGTTGACAAGATTGTATTATGACAATTCGTTATTTGACAGATGGTAAAAAAGGTTGAAAGAAACAGTTGTAATCGAATAGAGTGTAATTACACGTTTCAAAAAAACAAAAAAACTCTTCAGCTTTTTTTAAATAGTATAGGTAACTCCTCGTATATTATTATCAATTCTCATTAGAAGCCCACCAATCCAGTCTTTATCGGTCGTTAAATTGGTATTCCATTGGTATTGGTATTCCAATTGGTACAAACACCCGCGGGTAGGTATAGAGAGAGTAATAACCATGTAATGTGCAAAACAAGCATTCTCGAGGTCTCTGAGAGGTTACCTAGAGGCGTGAGTATATAGAAATTAAGCTCTGTAACTAAAACACGTTCATACTGTAACAATAAAAGTGTTTCTTATTTACAGTGACCCATAGAGGTAGAATTATATCAAGCTATAGTTAATATCTTTTTACTTTCAAAATTCTTCTTGATGTTCTCCCTCTGTCAATCTTATTTCTCTTGTCAAAGTGTTACTTTTAAGGAGTACAACTTCAAGTAATTATGGCGCCGTTTTCTGTTTTATTTTATGTATTATTGTCTATCACGGGCCATGTTCTCTGCGAAGAAGTAATTTATGATGAAATTGAGCTGTGTAAGTATTTGTAGATTACCAAAATTTTAGTATTCACAATTAGTCGTGGACTCGAATGAGGAACTAGGTTTAAAATGTTATGTTTTTTGTGTACTCTACTCTTGGCGAAAACAACGCACCAGGGAGTCCTGTTTTATAAAGCTCCTTACTGGAGCATTAGTATTTCTGCAAGAAAGTACGGTCTTCAGAACTCCTAATTTAGACTTGACTCTAAGCAAAGGTGTGAGTCACGACTCAGGTATTGCACAATCATTCGATAAGTTTTCTATTTCTGTGACAATTTAGTTTAATAATAAAAACTTTCATCTCAATTTTGAAAAAATCTATCCCACATTAGCTAAAGCGTCTGTTTAATTACAATATTTAATCCTTCAACTTTACTTTCAGTATCCACCACAGAGAAAATGATAGTAGACCTCGAAGCCCACTCTGATGTAGAGAATTTATTGGTAAAATTCCAAGAAATTGCCACAAAAGCTGAGAAATTAAACAACGACATATCTGTCACTCAAGAAGAAATAGAAGACGAATATAACAAGATGATAGACGTACTAAGTGAGCTAACTGAACTTGTCAAAGATTCTAATAAAGCCTTCATATTCCTGAAAGCCAAAGGCATCGACCGAGTTGCCGTGACTTACCTGAAAATAGAAAACAATGAACTAAAAGCTAAAATACTTATTCTACTAAAAGTACTCTTCCACGAAGTTCCTTCTGCTACAGTTGCTGCGATACCAATATTTATTGTAGACCGACTGATAAATATATTCGAGAATGATAATCTTGCTCTCAAAGCGCATTCCCTAGATGTTTTGTACCTTTGGTTACCTGACAACCCTAGAGTACAAGCTCGAGTTATGAAAATAAAAGGTTTGCAGCCATTTTACGAACAAATATCAATGTTAGACACAAACGTTATAAAAATGCTTTTAGATTTATTTAATAAAATATTAGATGAGCATCTGAAAGCGAGAAGCGATGTCCAAAAGCGTATTATAGATGCGGAGAAACTCAAATTCTATCAGAGAATTGGTCTTCTTGAACATATGTCAACACCGATGGTCTGCAATGGTCTACTGAACATATTTACCAGAACTTGGTCGTACAATTCGAAAGATAATAATATTCTTATGACGGTGTTTGAGCTGCTCAAGAACGTAAAGCAGTTTTGCGTGAACATATTCAGAGGAAAAGCAAAGGCTGTCAAGTTGTTCAAAGCCTTGCAGGAGTACGTTGAAAGTCCAGAGAATAAAGAAAACTTTATATTGAACGGTTTGAACATAACTGATGTCGCGTTGGTGATTGAGGACTACGTTCAGAAAGTGAAGCCACTGACGAAAGATGAATTTTAAGTTATCACCTAATTATGTTTATGTTGGTGATGGAATTTAATTTTACTCTGATATATTTTGTTTTAATTTTACTTTGTATTTAACTGTGTAAAAAACGGATTTTCTTATAATAATAAATAATAATGTGTTATATATAGTTTTAGAGATTTCTAAATATACTCGGTATTAAAAGAAGGCATTACGACAGATGAGTGATTTCGTTCGAAGAGAATGCATTTAAAAAGAGGGAGAGTTTTCCACCTGAAATGGGTCCACCTAAAGATAAAGTTAGGACTAGTTGGACTAAAGATATACCTACATATATGTTTAACGGGTGCAAAATGTTAAACGTGGTTGGAACACCTATGTGAATTAAGAGGGTAGACCATCTACACTGGTAGCAATCATAATTATAACACAGGCACATAGCAATGTTATGTTTGCACATAGTAACGGGCCTGTTGGTCTAGTGGTTAGTGGCCCTGACTGGTTCGATTCCCACCCAGGACAAATATTGTGTGATGAGCACGGTCATTTGTTCTGTGTCTGGGTGTAATTTATCTTTAATATGTGTGTATTTAAATATATATAAGTATGTTTATCAGCAGTCTGGTTACCATAACACAGGCTCTGCCTAGTTTGGGATCAGACGGCCGTGTGTGAAATGTGTGAGGTTATTATTATTAATGTTTTAATATCTCTTATTAATGACCGCTACTAATAACGTAGAGCCTCTGCTACGGTAAATACTGCTGCTAAACATACTATACTTTTAAATATATGCATATTATAATATATAATTTACATCTAGACTCAAGACAAATGATCTTACTCATTACACACTGATTGTTATTAAGTAGGACTCGAATGCTTTGGTTTAAACACGATCACTAACCACAAGGGCCTAGTGGTTTATGGTTTTGCTTTTTTTACTAGCTCGTTCTTTATCTAGTCTATAATTGCATAAAAGACTTAAAATTCACAGTTATTTTTTCTTCTGTATAGATTCATATAAGAGCACAATTTTTATTACTTAGGGCCCAAATCACCCTAAATGATCGTCCCCACGTGTGGTCTGACCGCAACTATCTGCACTTATATTTTCATCCCTAACACAAGGGTGGAAGCGTACGCGCATATCACAATGGTGTATTGTAAGGGCATCTTACAATTGTTGCGATATAATTTATAGCCTTCTATGTTGATGGGTTGTTTGATTTAATTTATTTAATGTTCGCAGTGAGTGGTTAGTGGTGGGGAATTGAGAGTTCTGTGAGGGTTGGTACCACTTTATTTCATTTCCTTTAGCTTAGCAATGTTGACACATGGCATTGTGGTAGGTATTGCATCAATTGCAACGGCAGAAGTCGTGGGTTCATTGCAGGGTTAATTTGTAGGGTTTAATAATTCTTCATTTCCTTTAACTTAGCAACGACGCATGACGTTTTAGTCTTACTTTGACTGCAACGCCAGAGGTCGATAGTTCATTTCTCGCGTATTGATGATATTAAGGTATAAATAGTTAGGTTTTGTATTGGTTTGGTTGTTTTATTATGTAACTAGAGTATCTTTTAAAGATCTTTATGAGTACATTTATTTTAAAGGATTTGAAAATTGCAGTTGATGGCCATTTTACTCTTGTGTCTTAAATACAATCATTAATCTCCCTTGGCGATAAAATATTATAATCTGTATTCTTTCTAAAAAGTCTAACTAAAGACGTATTTACATTCACTTAACTCTATTTGTCATAATACAGGTGACAGGTGATACCACTTTTTACCGCTAGAATGTAGACTTCAAGTAAATGACGCCTGCCTTTTATTCAATATTGCGAACGTATCGTTGGACTATCCCGAGAACTTGTCTCAAAAATATGCCTACGTGCCAATCCAACAAGATTCCGGCAGAGATCATTGTTAAATGTCCCTTTGAGCACAGCAAATTACAGACGTAATTAATTTTTCTTATGTAGTGCGCATTGAAGCAATATTACTAGCGTACGTAGTATCTTTCCTTAGACACTGATATTGACCTCTGCAGCCCCACTGCAGTAAGACGGCGTTTGCCAAATAGGTTTTTTGAATAATGGTTGACTTGCTTGGCAGATTACCGACGTACCGCGTTGTGGTATACATATATTAATGGTTATTGTGACAATAATGTATTCAAGTCCGTGTAGTGACGGATTAAGAATACGGAATGTCACTTCCCCAATTCATCCCGTGGGTGTCGTAAGAGCCGACTAAGGGTGCAAAACAACGCAGGACACCAGCACTGCAAAAAGAAGGAAAACTTGACACAAACCCTATACCAACCCGTCTGGTCAGCGTGGTATAGTAGGACAAAACCTCCTTTCTAAGGAGAGGCCTATGTCCAGCAGTGGACTATAAAAGGCTGTTGATGATGATGATGAATGTATTCAAATGTTCTCTTCATTGTTTGTGGAGAGAATGCATTGTAGTGATATGATATCCTATTGCATAAAGATTTAACATATTTCTCGTGATAAATATGTATATCTACTGTTGTTGTTATATTACTTTCTTTTAAGTTTATGGTTTGATATTATTTTAATGTATTTTGTTATTAGCTTACTTATACATAATAATACATATGTGGACCTTTTTTATTTTATTTTTTCTTTTATCTATTAGTCTGTAAGCCTTCCTAAAATAAGATAAAAAATAGGAATGTAATTGCATCATGTCAATAAAAAATGTTCATGAACATGGCATATTATGTTAATATCCTATGCATTTACATTTAAAGGTTAGCAGTTGTAGCGGTTACAACATGGCGGGATTTCGGTATCCTCCTTAGTCAAAGTAACAGTCATTTATTTTACAGTATGAAACATGAGTAATTGGTTGAGTATTTAAATTCATCTGAACAAGTCTCTTTCCACATTAACAAACTAATTTATTGTTCTATCTCTAGCTATTAGCGATATATATTTATACCGTGAAAAAAAAATGGAGTATTTATCTGTTACGCTGACGTGTCCCAATTCAATCACTGTAATTAATAGGTGTTGTAGATTCAATAGCCATTCAATTGCAAATCGTTTTACATTTCTAATACAACAGATTTTATTCAAATTAAACGTATAAGTTACGTTACAAAGCTCTCTTTGTGCAACTCGATTCATTACCGCAATGACAAATCATGCGCCATGGGTGGCCATGACAGTTTTGTTGCGGTTTCCCGCGCTTCCGAACCGGAAGATGTCATTAGTAATTATTTTTTTTAGCAGTTTTAATAGTGAGGTTATTGGCGGCAGTTAAAATAAATTTGATTTCTTTTTCCTATTTGTAAATTTATTAATTGATTTTGTTTTTCGTTAGACGCTTCATTACAGCTTACTTAGATTTATAAGTAGGTATATATATGAAAAAAAACACTTACTATGTGAATAACGTTATATTATAAAATAACCGCTACTAAAAGTCGCTTAAATATGGTTTTTTACTAAATGTGGAATTTTATATGATAAAAACTAGTATAAAAAAGTATCGCAGCTGTCTAGAAGTTAGTCGAAGTTACATGAAGAACTGCCTACTGCACGTACTTAATGTAACTTTTGCAAGATGGGAATGAGATTAGTTTATGTGGGAGAGCCACGTTTTGACACGGCTCGACTGGAGTGACACCACGGCCGTACAGAAAACAGATGTAAAGCATTATTTTCGTAGTCTTTCACCGAGTTTGTGGAGAGTGAGGTTAGCGGAGCCCAAAATCCCTAGTTTTGGAGGAGGGGGGGTCGAAGAACAACAACGCGCTTACTTGAGTTGCAGGTGTCCGTGGACGGCGGTAGTCACTTACCATCTAGTGAACCGTCAGCTCTTTTGACCCTTATACCATAAAAAAAACGGCACTTTTTTCCGACACTATAGCAGACGTTTTGCTATAGTGTCGGAAAAAAGTCTTGTTACACATTTTCCGGTCTCGCTCCCATTCGCTCAGTGCGTGTAACGCGCGATAAGGAACTTCGTTCCAAAAGTTAATTACTTTGAAAGCTATATTAAGCCTATTCTACCCGTTTTAAGTACATTGTTGTAGGTATTATTGGTCTCACTGTCACAGATTTTATACTCTTTAAAACTTACTCACTATTACCAGAAGACAAGCATTCTGGCACATAATATATTGCGTGGGAGTTTTAAAAAGGTGTAAGATGTCATAAGTGACAAAAATCGCAATCATAGGTCGACTAAACAAACACAAAAATCGAATCAAATCGATCATCGTTTAAAAAAAGGCGGCTATTCACAAAAAGTCAAAATCGGTGCAGTAACCTGCGCGTTATGCCAAAACGAATTTGCTGTAAAGTCAAGTACTGCGTGGGAATAACAAACGTAAATTTTTTTTCGTTTAAAAATTATGAATGGACATTGTTGTGTAATGGACGTGGTAAATAATCCTATTTGCATTGTTAGTTAAATCGTTGGTAGCTGTTGGTGTAGGGAGTCCATTGCGTATGGGGTGCTAAGAAGACTTTTTTTTTAGACAAGCTCTGGATGAGAAAATGTTTAAGTGCCTTAGTGATCAGCTTTTAGCACTGGTGATATCTCTCCTTATAAAAATGTTTAAAATCTTACCTACTAGTTAGTTAAATGAGAGATCAATCTAAACACACGTAGTTAATTATCATTTTCACCTATTGAGTAATGGCTTCGTTCTGTAAGTCGTTTAGTAATCATGGTCATAGTAGTTTAGACTCTCTCATGTTGAATGAACGGAAAGGTGGCGAGGATTTAGGACGCCTCCTTGTCAAGATCATTGCTATCAAATTAATTGACGACCGGATGGCGTAGTGGTTTGTGTAACGGACTGCTATTCCAAAGGTCGCGGGTTCTATTGCCGCTCAAGTCAAACATTTGTGTGCATGAACTGTTAATGTTTGATTTGGTCTGAGTGTTTCTATGTATAATATGTATTTATTCACAAAAAAAACTATATATGTAGTTATATCAGTTGTCTAGTAGCCATAGTACAAGCTCTGTTTAGTTTGGGACTAG